TTCATTTGTTGATCTAAAAAACGTTACTGAGTAACTGCTATGTGCCAGTTACAACGCTGGAGACAGGATAATAAACAAGATGTAGATTCTCCTGACCTTCATTGAGTTTACATTCTAGTGGGGTTAAAATTTTTGACAGCCGTGTTATTAGCCACATCACCCACAACAGTCAAATGATGGAAGCAACTCAAGTGTCCATCAATGGCTGCATGGATAAACAAAACATGGTGTATTTATTCACACACCTTTAAAAGGAAGGAGATTCTGACACACGTTACCATATGGATGAATCTTGAGGACGTTAAGCTAAGTGAAATGAATGAGTCACAAAAAGATAAATAGTGTATGATTCCACCTATATGAGGTACTCAGAGTAGTCAAATACATACAGACAAAAAGAACAATGATGGTTGCATAGAACAGAGGGTGGGGAGGAGAGAATGGAAGAGTTATTGTTTAACTGGTCAAGAGTTTCAGTTATACAAAATGAAAAGACTTCTTGAGATGGATGGTGGTAATAGTTGTAAAACCATGTGAATGTACTTAATGCCACTGAACTGTATGTACACTTAAAAATGGTTAAGATGGTAAATTTCACGTTATGTGTGATTTACTACAATTACAACAATTTTTTTTTTAAAACAAGATTGTTTTGCTTTCAACAAAGGAATAACCCAAAAAGTTCAATGCTAGCGGACGGGCTTCTAGAAAGACCACTGAAAACAGAGGAAAAAAAATTATGGTATGACATTCCTGAGATGGCAGCAGGGGATGATACCCAATTCACAAACAGGGATTCGTCCATGATCTCTTCCACTAAATATATTATAGTGAATATAATCGTGGAGCAAAATTATTTCTTTCTGAAATACCACTAAAAAGGCCCATATAGGCTTCTGACTAGAATGCAGAAAGCTAGAGTAACTCCCCCTCTATCTCTGAGAAAAAGTGGGACAAGATGCCAATTTTCTCCAAATTGATCTATAGATTCAATGCAGTCCCAATCAGGAACCCTCAAGCTCTTTTGCAGAAACTGACAAGCTGATTCTAAAATTGATATGGAAAGCTAAAGGACTCAGAATAATTAAAACAACTTTGAGAAATGAATATAGTTGAAGAATTTCACATTATTTGGTTTCAGGACTTTCTATACTGCTATGGTAATGAAGACTGTGTTATAATGGCAAAATGACAGCCTTAAATCTATGGAACAGAATAGTGCCAGAAACAGCCGCTCAGTTATGGTAAACTGATTTTTAACAAAGGTGCCAAGCTAATTCAATGAAGAAAGGATAATCTTTTCAACAAATGCTGTAACAATTAAACATCCTTTGAAAAAAGGTGAACCTCAACTAATACCTCACGTTATGTAAAAATTACTTCATGATGGGTCACAGATCTAAACGTACAACTTAAAACTATACAACTTCTAGAAAACAACAACAAAAACTCTTTGTGAGTTTAGGTTGGGTAATGGCTTCCTAGATAGCAAAGAAAAAGCACCTATGCATAAAGAAAAAATTAAAATTTTTATTCTTTAAAGAACTGCCAAAAAAAGAGAAAACACTGGGATAAAATATTTGCAATACATATATATGATAAATAACTTTTATCTAGAAGTTATAAAGAACTCTCAAAACTTAACAAGAAAACAACCCAATTTAAAACCTAGAAATACAGACACTTCACCAGAGATATGGTTAGTAAATAAACACATGAAAAAATGCTCAACATCAATAGACAATGAAAAAATGTAAATTAAAACCACAATAAGACATGACTACACACTAACGACAACAAAAACAAAACAAAATCTAACAATACTAGGTACTACCAAGGATACTCTTGCTGGTGATAATAGAAAATGATGTAAACATGTTGGAAAACAGTTTGGCAATTTCTTATAAAATTAAACATCAATTTACCATATGGTCCAGCAATACCAATCTTAGATACTAACCCTAAAGAAAATATATACACCTAAAAACCTGTAAGTGAATGTTTCTAGAAGTTTTATTCCTGACAGCCAAAACCTGAAAACAAATGTTCATCAACTGGTGAATGGATAAACAAATTATAGTAGATCCACATACGGAATACTATTAAGCATTGATAAGGAACAAACTACAAATAGACCTAACAATATGAATAAATCTCAAAATCATTATGCTAAGTGAAATAAGCCAGACACAAACGGCTATATATTATATATTTCTGTTTATATGACATGTGGAAAAGCCAAAAGTATAGGAAGAGGAAATAATTTTTAAAAATTAAAAATTTTAAAAACAATTGCCAATGCAATTGCACCACATAAGAATGTTTTGGTCAAGGATGGACTGCCTACTGGTCTGATAAGATGATAGCGGAGCATATATAGAACCTGATATAGGGCATTTGATATTAGCACTGCAGATCAAGCAGGAGAAATCAATGATACCCAATAATGTGCAGGGACTTTTTTTTTATATGAAGAAAAAAATATATATATATGCACACACACACACATCATCTAGGTTCATGTAGGTAGTCTGTATTCGTGCATTGCTGAAACTGCCTAACAAAGCATTTCTCAGAATTTATTCCCACTGCTAAGTGACTCACGACTACAGCTGCAAATAGTTATGCAGTATTTTACTATGATAATCCTCACAATACTCCATGGAGTTGGTATTAGTTTTATATCCATTTTACAGGTAAGAAAATGGGGGTCCAGAGATTGTCCAATTTACTAAAGGTAATAAAGTGAGTACACGCGCTGACATTTGTAACTTGGAGTCTCTTACTTCAAATTTTATGCTTTTCCCTGGTGCTATACCAATAAGTTAATTAACTTGTCATCCTTAGCTTTTATAATACTTGATTCAGGCCTCTGTTACACAAATTTTAAAGTGATTTTTGTAATCAATAAGTTTGATTATAAACGAGGAATGGAAATAGCTTATTAATTTTTTATGTTTACATTGTTTAACATCATGTTCAGAACACAGTGGACACTCAACTATTTGTGAATGAATAAAGAATTACTTGCATTTCCTGAAAGGAGAATTAAAAATTATAGCAAATATTCCAAAGGTAACTTATTTCACTTTTGAAAACATTATAGTTCACTTTCACGAACATGGCACTATAAGTAAACTGTGTCTAAGAAGGTATAGACTTAAGCCTTAATATCTATGTTTGGAAGAGGACATAATATCTTTTCCTTTTTTGCAATCATGAGGATGAAAATAATGGACTTAAAAGTCCTTTGTATATGGTAAAGTAATGTATAATTATTATCATATCTAAGTATTATCATCCATATCAGGCTGTTTAGAGTAACACAGAAGCCTTTCTTTTCTCAAAATCTTCATCTACACGAAAAAATATTTTAAAATATCTTTCCTTTCATTAATGGTGTTAATGCTTTATAGCAATGTTTATAAAGCTTTAGTGCTAAGAAGAAAATCACAAGACTCAGGAGTTGTATTCTTTTATAACGATATTACAGTCTAATGCAGTTCACAAACTGCTGGTTCTTGAGGTAGAGAGGCAGATGACAAGAGAAAAAGAAAATGCGTAAGAAAGAAAACTCAGTTCACAGAAAGCATAGCCCTTGAAGTAGTTTAAAGTTTTACTGCTAATAATTGGTATTCATACACAAAAGTAACATAAAAGAAACAGTTTCTGTTTTTGTTTTTTCAAAGCCCATACATACACTACTTGGTCCCTAGGAACAATGTATTTGAAAAGTAGTTACTATGAGAAAATGGCTTGAAACTGTAATATTCGCGACAAATATAAATATCTTCTTATTAAGTGGTTTCAACTACATAAAGAAAGACTGTCCTGGTACTACTTTGGATATGCTCATATTTTCAAGAATTTCTCTTAAAATCATTACTTACGTACTTAAACGTGTAGGAATAAGAAAAAATGAAAGTGGTTGATTACAACTTGTAGTTTTGCATGAGGAATGTCAGGGTCATATTTGGTTAAGCTTTACACACTTTGTCCCCTCCATAACATCAAATAAAATCAACTCATTGCTTAATTCCTTTGATAATTTTATGTTTGTGTTCAATACAGTAAGGCAGTTAGGTATTACGTCAAGATTAGGACTTAACTGTTTCACCAAGGGTTAAAAACAAAGCTACCAATTTAAGCCCCTAAAAGGTTAAAATACCCGCTAGTTCCATCTTAAAATCTACAATTTTCAATCAACACGTTAACTTGGATCGGAATTCTGACATTTGAATTATTCTATTTTAAGCTCCAAAAAATGGACACGCACAATTTCATGCAACGTCAAGGAGTTGTAAATTTAAATACACTTCTCTGTAATCTGGTTCACTTCAGAGTACAAATTCATTTAACAAAAAAAATGCCTTCATCGCCATATGCATTCACATGAAGCCACATGGGATAAACGCATTTCCACTTCAAAAAGTATCTACTTTGGTTCAGAAATGCCCATTTAAGAAAAACCTACATTGAGATAAAGTGGACATTTTTCTTTTAAAACTACGTGACAGGATTCCCTCTTGACCTCACGTTTCTCCCCGCCACTTATTTAAATTTGGGGCAAAATTTCTGATTAAATGACTGATCAAAGTAATGGGGAGAATTCTTCAATGCCGGCCAAAAGTGCTCGGAGTTTCAAACGCTGTGAGGGAGCATTTCCTAAGCTTTGGGCGACTTGTTAACGGAATCTTAAGGGCAAGGTCCAACCACACTTAGAATCAGCAGGAAAATGACCATTTGGTAAAACTCAGTAACACCCAGTAGGCACCTCCCCAGGCCCGAAACGGCACTCGCCCTTTCTGCTCAGCTAGCGCGGGACATCGCAACGCCCAAGGCCCTCCCGTCTCAACGGCGCCTGCGCAAAATCTCCCCACAGAGTCAATTAAACCCTTCCTTAGGCCGGTCGAGGCTAATGGTTTTGAAATTACTGTCGGGTTACGCCTCACTTTAAAAAACAAGTAGGTATGACACAGCACACCAGAACGACCACTCACCGAGGTGGTCCTAAATTCAAACGACAGATTTAAGCTTCCTCTCGTGATTTATCTGGCGCTGCCGGAAGCGGAACTACCCAGGTCCTTTAGAGGCCAGTCCTTTTGGGAGCCTTGGAACCACGGTCAGAAAGGTTAGGACGGATCGTTTGGCTCTTGCCGGAAATCGTTCCGCCCGGTGAGGTTTCGGCGTGAGACCCGAGGAGGGCGGGGAAGAGGCGTGACGGAGATTTTTGAGGTGTAGTAGCCTGAGGTGCCCCTATGTGGCCCTATAGCTGTTACTGAAGGAAGTAGCCTACGTCCACGCCTACAACTGAAGTAACTTGACGAACACCTCACCCCTGCCTCCGGGATGAAAGTGGGTAACCTAGACCTGAATGGGCTTGACCATCTCACAACTGCTCGCGTGACGACCGCATTCGTGGCAGGTGAGGGCCCCAAAACTGGAGGAGAACCGGAGATGCGGAACCTGATCATGCCAGGGTTGAGGCGGCTGCTGGGCTTCTGCTTTGTCTCCTGTGCTCTGCAGAGCCTAAACACGCGCTCCACCGAGGGGCATGTGCTGCAGCGAATGACAGCCTGGGCGTGGAGTGACAGTATAGCTTTGAGGGTCCTTTCGCGCCTTGATTTCTCCTCCTGCTCCTCCATGGCTTCTCTTTTTCATTTCTTGGGTTTGAGACCCCAGAAATTGAAGCTCAGCTAAAAGGGAACTGTCGAGCTTCTACCCCACGCTGTTCCTGGCTCCACCGAAGTGATTAGCCTCGAGTTATGGGACTGCTGTGGGTAGAGGTGGCTTTTTAAAAAATTTTCTTCCTTAGTCCTTATCCCTCTCTGTCAACCCCACACCCACTTTAACAGAACAAAAGCCTCGTGTGTTGCAGCCTTTCATAGTAGGGACCGAGGCTGCAGGTCACTGCCGCACCTAATCATTTGGAGGGCGTTGCAGCCTTCCGCGCCCTGAAGGAGAAAGGGCCAGGGTGGTGATCCCGGGATCTCATTCACGAGGTTCTTGACCTCTTCCTGGGAGTTTGCGACTCCTGGAGTCCTTTGGGTAGTAGGTGTCTTGCTGGAAGGCTTAACTATGGAAGTGGGAAGCGTAGCTGACCTTAGCACATAAAAGCCTCGCTCTACACTGGGACAGGATTTTGTTTTGCTATTGTGAATTATTTAATGAAACAGCTATTTTTTTTTTTTTGTCTTAGATAGATAAAATAATGATAGTTGCCATTAACCGAGTCTTATGTGTGCCGAGTGCTTTACATATTTTGTCATTCGTTCCTCTCAACAATTCCAGGAGATATGTTAGATTATCACCACCATTTTACAGAGTTAGAAATTGAGGAGCAGTCAAGCAACTTGCCCTAGTGAACAGTTGTAAGTAAACGTTTCAATCTGTGTTAAAAACCAGATCTGTCTGCCTTCAAAATCTGTGTTCTATTGTCCCGTTCTGTTCTTCCTTGATTTCAATTTCTTCACTAACATTTTCAGTGTCGGAAAGTATTCATTCATTTAAAAAAAATTGGTGTACCTACTTATATGTCTGACAAAAGTTAGACATGATCTCTGTCTTTATGTAGCATTGTGATGCAGAATTAAGTAGTACAGAACTCAGAATGCTGTACTTACTGCAGCACAGGTTTATTTAAAGCAAATGACTAAACCTACGTGCAGAAAATTTTAAAATTTTAAATTCATATAACTTCCAGAGTAGTTGTTGTGAGAGTCTTAAACTGAACAATTGGTAGAACATTTGTTGATTACCCAAATAAGTGCTATGAACCAAGTTAAGTAGCGGGAATATATAGATTAGGTCCTCATTCTCTAGGAGCCCCCATACAAGCACAATATAGACAGTGTTATGGACTATTAATTTTCTCATGTGGAAAAGGAATTGTGTTTATATAGGAAGATGTTCTTATTTTTAGGAGATGCATACAAAAGTACTTAGAGTTGGAGTGTGTTGATATCTAGTACCTTCAAATGGTACAGCAAGTGTATGTGTGTGTGTATAAATAGCAAACATGGCAAAATGTTGGCAATCGTTAAGTATAATGGTGGGCATATGGATGATTAATAAACTGTTCTTTCAACTTTTGTGAATATTTGTAACTTTTCATAATAAAAAGTTGGGGAGGAAAAAACCCAACTCTGATGGAAACAGATAAGTGAAAAGATAGATCCAAAATGCTGTGGAACATAGAAGATGGGAGAGGGTTTTTACGTATCTTTAGGGCCTATCAAAGGTGTCATAGTTCTCAGGAAAACCTTCATTGAAGACCTTCCAGTTGGTTTTTGAATGCGGCATAGGAACTTTCAAGGAGAGCAGTGAGTTCCAGGCAGAAGGAAATGTAGGTTCAGCAAAAAGGTATTAAATGAACGTTTGAAGAAGGAAAAAAAAAATCAACATGAAGGTTGTGTGGAACTTGGAATGGGCTTTTTTTGTGTAATCTTATAAATGAACCAGATTGCCTTTGCCAGCCTGCAGAAGCATTATTTATTCCCTATTACATGGATGTACTATTAGTGCCCTGGAAAGGAGACACAATTTATAACAGTGTTTCCATTGGAAAATGCTTTTGGAATTTCAGGAAAACTGGTTATGTGTTTGCATTCAGGCTGAGCAGCAGGAGCAGGAGCTCCCATTTCCTCTGATTTTGAGAGCAGAGATTTACTAGTTTATAGTTGGGCTCCTGAGGGAACCCATGGAAAGGGCTACAATGATGGCTTGGAAATATTAAGTTCAGGTAAGGGGGATCTGAATACTAGGTGGGACTGATGGATGATCCAGGGTGTTATTTTGAGGATCAGGTAGCTCTGGCTGTGACCAGTAAAAGTATGAAAGAGAAGAATGATTATCCCAGGCAGTAGTGTTCATGATAGTCTCAAGCAGTGTGGTAAGACTAGAAAAGATGTAGAGGTCTCCAACAACAACAGTGGCAAAGGGGAGTTTCTGTGACTCATTAGACAAGAGGTAAGTAGATACATTCTAAATTGAGTTATTTATATTTGTTCCTTGCCAATTAAATTTGTTAGAAAACTGTCATAACAACATTTAACAAGATATTAAACAACTAACATTTACTGAGTGCTTAATATGTGCTATTTGCTGTGGCATCTGTATTGTAATTTCATTGTCAAAACAATATATGAAATTTAGAATCCCATTTTACAGATGATGACTAGAGAGGTTCAATAACTTGACTAAGGACACAGAGCTGAGCAACTTTCAGAAAAAGTTTTCAAATCCAGTTTTGAGTCTAAAGCAATTGTTCTTATAGTGTGATTCCAAGATGAGCAACATCAGCATCACCTTGGAACTTTTGGAAAGGCAAAATATTGGGCCCCACCCCCAGAGTTTTGAGTTTGGTGTTTTAACAAGTCCCTACAGGTGATTCCGTTGCACTCTAATGTTTGAGAACTACTGCATTGAGTGTGGACATTTTTAGTAGCATAACACTCATTTCAGATTCTTTTAGATTTATATGTTAGAGTCAGTAGGGAGTTCGGTTTATAGGAGTGTTTATGGAAACTATGGTTTATTGTTTAATATACGCCAAGCACTTATGCTATCTCACTTAGTCTTTACAGGGTTACAGATGTTACTATTCTTCCTTTTTTATAGACTAATAGCAACTAGCGTAAGTCACTAGCTACGAAGTAACAGATTAAAACAGATGTACCTGACTCCAGAACATTCCCCTTCCACTATCGAAATGTTTGAGCTCTTTTTAGATGGAAAGAGTAAAAAACTTAAAAGAAACCAAGAGATATTTGCCATTTGATAGAAAACAGAACTGAGATCAACTTATCCACCAACATCAAGTTTTACAGCAACTGGAAACTTTCTGTTTTTTTTTTTTTTTTTTTTCAGTAGACATTTTTTACATGTTAAATAATGCAGAGGAATAGAACAAAAGGCATTGATTTATAAAGTAAATTATTTCTACTTTTATTTTTAAATTGCAAATTATTTTAAACGTAACACTGTAATTTAAAGATGGTTAAAGTGAAGGCTAACTGGGTAAATTGATTTTAATGTCTACTGGGGAGTCACCAGTTATACTGGAATTAGATCTTTAGGAATAGAACTTTTGGAGTTATGCTTTTAATTCTACCTAGCATATTGTTTGACTTTTAAGAATATTTGATCAATTAATTTCTTTTACTACCAGTAATCAAATGAAGCATTTGTTACGTAGTTTCATCTTGGTATATAATTAATTTTAATATGACCAGGAAACAAGTACATGTAAACAACTATGGTAAGGAATATTTTGATATGATACTGCTCTTATATGATAGTTCTTATTTATTTTATTTATTTATTTATTTATTTATTTATTTGAGACAGAGTCTTTCTCTGTTATTCAAGCTGGAGTATAGTGGCACAGTCATAGCTCACTGGAGCTTCAAACTGTTGGGCTCAAGCGATCCTCCCACCTCAACCTCCCAAGTAGCTAGGATTACAGGTGCAAGCTATGATAGTTCTTTAACTGATACTCATGGATGCCTGGTTATGTGGAAGAGTTTGAATCTCAGTGAATCACATAAAATTGCTTGCAGAATTTAGTGCACATGTACTTTCTTTTTTTCTGAGGAGAAGATCCATAGATTTTATTAGATTTGTTAAAGAGTTTTCGACTTCTACACGTTTAAGAGCTGCTATTTAATGAAATCTTGTTCTGATTCTAATCTTTTTTTGTTCATTTATATATGAGACCAGAATATAGAATTATGTTCCCTAAAATACCTCTTTACAGACAGCTTTACAAATTGACAATGTAATTTCAGATTAATATTTGTCAGTGGTTTTTAAAGCTGCATTCCATTTGTCTGTTCTTTTCCATTGCATTCAGATATTTCATAACTATGTGCTAACAGATTTAGCTTTAATATAATTTTGTTATAATTTGAGTAATTTTCTCTTAATTGATTTAGATATTTTGGGATGAAGAATTTAATGTGTAGTCTTTTTGTTAATTCATATGTTTGTCAAGTTGCTAAGATGTATACTACTGAGGATCAGTTTTAGTTTCTTAATTTTTCGTTTTTATTAGTTATAAGTAATTTTCTTATGGGAGAAATTGTATTTTCATTTTGACAATATACATCAAGTTATTGGTGCTGATTTTACAAGAGTCATTAAAAATTATTTTTTACAGGAATGTTTTTGGAGTGCACCTCCCAAAATTAGTTTTTTCATTGCATTTTAGGTAAGAAGATTGCTGTATCAACTCAAGAAAGCAATAGCCTCACTGTCTTTGTATTTTGAATTGCAACAACTTTGATATCAACAATGAAGCAATGATATCTAAGAACAAAAGAGTATTTGCCAACAGTCATCAAAATATCAAGTGATTGTATAAGCAGAAACAAGCTGTCGCAGACCTGTGTGTTAGCTAATATATGGAGAATGCTTTCTTCTGATGCTATTTACTTAGAGGCAGTTCTAATATAAATCATTTCAATTATATCTACATCAAATAAAATAAAAATGAGTGAAGCCCCCAGATTCTTTGTTGGACCAGAAGATACAGAAATAAATCCTGGAAATTATCGACATTTCTTCCACCATGCAGATGAAGACGATGAGGAGGAAGATGATTCTGTAAGTTGTTTGTTTTTTCTTTGGTGAGAGAAGACCGATACAGTATAGGCTTTTTACTAATCACTGTTAATGTGAATTAATCTTAAGACTCTTTTTGTTGGAAAATTTTTAAACTGAAAAAGTATATTTTGCTTCATGACTGATGTTGTTGAATGTATGATGAATCAATAAATACAGTTATGGGTCAAACCTTTATGTTGTTTAATGATGCCTATTTTAGTTTCTTTCAGTGATACGCATAGTGTAACCCAGTGTTAGGTGAAAAAAAAAAAGTGGCAAAGAGAAATAGTAATCTGGGCCATAAATCCAAAAGCTTTCTTGTATGTAGAACTACATAGCAAATAATTGATGATAAGTAGAAGGAAATAATTTTAAAGGTTATTTAAAGAAGAAGGATTACTTAACTAGATTCATTAAGCTTATGTTACCAATGTGAGTTCTGGTTGAACTGAAGATACTCATATTTATTAACTTCAGAAGTCTGAAAACTGAGTGGCTAAAAGGGTAGGCTACCTAAAATATCTATGTGTTTGTGTGTGTGTCTAAAGCTTGTTCTCTTTCTGATATAATGTTCTATCCATACTGGATCTTAGAAATGATATACATTTATTATGCTCGTTTTGCTATAGTTACATTAGACCAATATTTTTCTTACTCATCATTTAATTTTTTAAGTAGAGACTACTTTACTGTGAATACTGATTTAAAATACCTACAGTACGTGTTTGTTTTTCATATATTTTTAATTGGAAAGAGAATTTAGTTTTAGGAGAAAAACCTGTTCTATTTTGTAAAAATAGTAAAACCAAAAATAGTGATTAGATGACTCTTTAAGCCCTTTTTTATAATAACAATCTTTCACAGTGGAGTTACACATATTTGAAATGCAAATTCTACTGTTGGCTCATTTCAAACCTTCAATGCAGAGCACCTTTGCTACCTCCTGCCCCTGAAAAACTAGATTTTCAGGCAGGCTTCTCTTACCAGCTCAAACTTTTTTTCATCTGAAGTTTTATCTAGAAGTCCCATAAGTAAAACATGAAAGCAGAGCATCTCTGGCTCACTTAAACTAGAAAGCACTATTGACTTACTAGAAAGCACTATTGACTCAGCCTCTACTGCCTTTATCCCCTTTTTCTAGAGTTCTTCTGAATATAGTGTGAACACCACTGGCAGATCAAAGCCAGTCTTCTTACATGTGAAAGCTTTTATGTCTCATCTATATCTACATCCATACCTCTTTCCCATTCTTTCTACCTTCTATGTTTTAGTAACATCAACATTTTTATTTCCACATATTTATTGTCATACCATGCATCTTTGCTATTGTGTGTACTCTTTCACCTTTCTGAAATGACCTTATTTTGGAATACCTTGTGAATTATTTTTCATTCTTCCAAACCCTCCTCAGATTTCACATCATTCACTCTTTCCACTCTCCTTGCTTTTTTTTCCATCACAGATTGGAATACTTCTTCCTCATTACTGTGTCTTTACATTGGTGTATATACAGTTGTCCCTCAATATCCATGAGGGATTGGTTCTAGAACTCCCTGTGGATACCAAAATCTGCCGATGCTGAAGCTCTTTTTATAAAATTGTGTGATATTTACATGTAAGCCACATCTACCCATATGTTTTAAATCATCTCTAAATTACTTTAATATAATATAAATATGTAAATAGTTGTTATACTGTATCGCTTAGGGAATAATGATAAGAAATATCATATGTATATGTTCGGTACAGATGCTTTTTCCCCCACAAATATCTTCAATACATGATTAATTGAATCCATGGATGTGAAACCCATAGATATGGAGGGCCAACTGTACTTCTATTCCATGTATCACAATGTTTTTTATTATTACTGTGTTCCCTGTTAGATTCAAAGTACTTTGAGTACAGGTACATCTGTATATCTAATCTTCAGCACATCGTATGGTGCACTATTATCACTTTACAGAAGCTTGATTTAGTTTATTTGATCTATAGCTTTATATTTATAAAATGATTTATTCCAGATCATTCTTCTGTTTTTAAGATTTCTCTCCCGTTTTTAGACTTCAAAGATGTGAATATAGTTTTTTTAGACATTCAACCTAAGAAAATACCTCAGATCAGTTTAAAAAATTATCTTCATGATTTTAAGGTTTTACCTAACAGAGAACCTCTGTTATTGTGTCTTAAGAATGTAAGTTTAGTTATACATTTTAAACTTGAATGGTTCCTATTCATCTTAGCCATTGAGCAGATATTCATTAAATAGATTTGTAATACATAAGACTTAATATATTAGCATTTAAAAAAATTGTAAAGCAATGTGAAATGTTAGGTTAGAGTACATTTTTTGTCTGGGGAAATCTACCTTAGGAACATTATAATGAACTGTATCAAAACTTTTGATCAGGAAAGCATTGAATAAGGTCTTATATAAAAGTGGATGGTCAGAGGGATAAATACAGAAGATTCCAGGAAGGTTAGCATTTATAATCTATTTGATTTACCAGTCAACTGTAGTACAATTTTAACTCTACATTTCATGAGTTTGAGGAGACCATACAGAAATATTGTTCTAGGCATAAAAAAAGAATAATTTAGACTGGGCGTGGTAGCTCATGCCTGTAATCTCAGCACTTTGGGAGGCCGAGGCAGGCGGATCACAAGGTCAGGAAATCGAGACCATCCTGGCTAACACGATGAAACCCCATATCTACTAAAAATATGAAAAAAAAATTAGCCAGGTGTGGCGGTGCACACGTGTAGTCCCAGCTACTCGGGAGACTGAGGCAGGCGAATTACTTGAACCTGGGAGGCGGAGATTGCAGTGAGCTGAGATCACGCCACTGTACTCCAGCCTGGGTGACAGAGCGAGACTTCGTCTCAAAAAACCAAAAAAAAATTAATTAATTCTGATGTTATCCAATTTTATTTTTAGATATATTAAGAAAAAGCCCAGTAAAGCACTTTCGAGCCTAGATTATACTGTTGTGTGAAATATATAAAGTATCATGGAAGAAAGAAGAATTGAAATGAGAAACTGAAGACAGCTTTTGTATATTTGATAAAACTCTCAAGCACTTAAATGCAAAGATCACCAAATGAATCTTGAGTAATTTTATAAATCTAGGAGCTACTCATAAATTAGTTTCTATATCCTGCTTTTTAAGTTTTAGACTGACTCGTGGCCTTTGAGCTGTTACGAGGATGCCAGAGATCAGTAACCCCAATAAATAGGAGTATTGACTATGAAGACAGGAGGGGCAAAGAGACTGGACACCTCTGTTGGCAGTGTGGCTTTCTTTAAAATTTTCTTCCAGGTTGTCATTGGTGACCAACTAATATTCAAGTGCAAACTACAATAATAGTTTAATACTGTATAGCTTTGTAGTCAGGACTATGTCTTACTTTAGGCAAGAGAATTCTTTATCTTTCTACATAGAGTAGATGGGTTTTGACTGTTACTATACTTTACTGGTATGAGGAGGATAAATAAATGCTAGAGGTAGTTAAAGAGGGGGTACTTTTTTAGTTTTAAATTTCATTGAAAATAGCAACAATATTTGTTCTGAAAGTGTTTTTGTTTTTAAATTTTTTTCCAGACCTTTGTAGAAAACTGTTTTTTAAGTGTTTATTATAACAATGATATAATTTTTTAAAATTCCTTTGTTTGTTAATGTGTCCCTTTTATTGATTGATCACATGCCTTATCTACTTTTGGAAAACAAATGAAGATAGCTGTACTTTGGAGTTCATGTAAAGTTAACCTGATTTTTTGTTTCATTTTTGTTTTAGCCACCAGAAAGGCAGATTGTGGTTGGAATATGTTCCATGGCAAAGAAATCCAAATCCAAACCAATGAAGGAAATTCTTGAACGGATCTCCTTATTTAAATATATCACAGTAGTAGTATTTGAAGAGGAGGTTATTTTGAATGAACCAGTGGAAAACTGGCCTTTATGTGATTGTCTTATTTCTTTCCATTCTAAAGGTATTAAGGGGAGTGGGGGAGAAACTCCTTTATCTTCTCTGAGTATAAAACTAATACATATTAATTGTAGACTATGAGATAAAACAAAAATAAACTTTAAGATACTTTCATGGACAGGTGATATTAACATTTTGATGTATTTCTTTCCAGTGTATGTCTTCTCTGTGTATTTTCTTTTAATTTAATGTCATAGTGTATGTGTAATTTTATATTTAACCTTTTTCACTATTATATCAAGAAGTTTTTTTCCCCCACCATATCATTCTTAGATAATGTGGTTTTTAATAGTGGCATAGTATATCATTGTGTGGATATACCATAACATATTTAAATTTATCTAATATCCTAATATTTGGACAGTTTCCAGTTTTCCCTATTAAAAATAAGGTTGTGTGAGCTCTTGTTTGCATCTGTAAGTTTCTTAGGACAAGTTCTTGAATTATTGAATACTTTAAGTCTCTTTCTAGGCTGTATAGAACAAGATCTATCATTTTTCATATACATATTCATACTTCATTTTTAAGAACTTAATAATTTGAGATTTTTAGATATTCCTTGCTATATTTTATTAATCAAACTGAAATATCAATTCAGCTTAAGTATTATGTCATTGTAAAGTCCACTAATCAAATTATTGCTGAGGGTACATCTGAAAATTCATAGCCTAAGAATCTGTGAATTAAGTGAATTTCCCACTAAGAACTATTAATTGAAAAGATGTGCTCTCGGTTGTAAATGTATTCATATTTAATCATCTCTTGTTACCAAAATATGTTGTCCTGAGCTATGTTAAAGTCTTACTTCAGCAGGAAGAAGATGGAGCATGGTTGTGCTACCATAGCCTAAATTGATGTTCATTATTTCATAGAGAAGTCAAGACACTGATCTTTAAAGACTCAGGCTGCTTATTTTAGAGAACCTTAAAATTTCTTCCTCCTTGAGAGTAAAGCATTCTTCCCTTACCCTCACATGGTTCTTCCTATTAATGCTATATTTACCTGTAAAAACTAGGTGCTATAGCTAATGTCATATTCCACATACCATCTCTTGGTAGGGAAAAAGTTTCTCTTTAACAAAAACAAAAGCAGGAAACGGTATAGGTGTTTTCTATTTGCTAAATTCTGTAAGGAGGCTTCAAATCATAGACATCGAGACATCTTTACAAGAATAAATTCTGAGAGTCTTTACAAAACTTGCAGGATTTGTAATTTGTGGCTAAATGATTCTTGATATAAAGTATCTGTATTCAAATTTCAAAAACTAAGAGGAGTTTAGGAATAAATCTGGTTTAACTGGCCACAGCTTTTTGTTTTGTTTTATTTTCAGCATGTTTTAATACTTTTTCTCTTTATCCTGGTAGTGCTGTAAAATATAGTCTCTTCACAGGTATACTTAGTATTATATAGTTGAATACTAAAGTTATGTATGCTTGCTGATTTTTATCCTTTTCCATAGATATTTATTAAAATATTGCCTCTTAAGGAATAATAACAATAACATTTATTGAGCACTTACTATGTCAGGTACTGTGCTTAGTGCCTTATATCCACACTATTATTAATTCCTCAAAACTCTACTAGGTAAGACTGGTATAATACCCTTTTATGCTGGTACCGGAGGCTTAGAGACGTTAAATAAATTTGCCCAAGGTCACATAGCTAGTGAAAGATGGAACCAGGATTTGAACGCTGGTTTATGTCTTTAACTGTTACGGTATACAACTAATGATGTGTATTGATGGATAAAATTGGAGACTTTTTGTCAATTTTTTTTTCCCCCTGGAGACAGGGTCTTGCTCTGTCAACCAGGCTGGAGTACAGTGGTAAAGTCATAGCTCCCTGTAACCTCAAACTCTTGGGCTCAAGTGATCCTCCCACCTCAGCCTCCTGAATAGATAGAACTACAGGTTGCGCCACTACCCTCTGCTGATTCTTTTGAATTTTTTGTAGAGATGGGATCTTGCTATGTTGCCCAGGCTGGTGTTGAATTCCTGGCCTCAAGCACTCCTCCCAACTCGGCCTCCCAAAGTACTGGGAGAGGCAAGAGCCACTGTACCTGGCATTAGTGCCAATATAGAGAATAAAATATAATCATAAGATTTTTTTAGATTTTGGGGGAGGGGAGCTGTTGTTAACTATATGTACTATTTGATTTGTTTTTATTGTAATTAGTACTTTTACCAGTCTAGAAGTTTTAGGGAGTTAATTTCTAATATTTTAATGTTGACCGAGCAATAGCATGATTCTGCTCATATATTTTGAGCATATATGTCATATATGAATTAATTTTTGCTTGTATAGCTTTTTTTTTTTTTTTTTTTTGAGACAGAGCCTTGCTCTGTTGCCCAGGCTGGAGGACAAGGGCGCAATCTCCACTCACCGCAACCTCCGTCTCCTGGGTTCAAGTGATTCTCCTGCTTCAGCCTCCCAAGTATCTGGGATTACAGGTGCACGCCACCAGGCTAATTTTTTGTAATTTTAGTAGAGACGGGGTTTCACCATGTTGGCCAGGCTGGTCTCAAACTCCTGACCTCAGGTGATCCACCTGCCTTGGCCTCCCAAAGTGCTGGGATTACAGGCGTGCACCACCACTCCTGGCCCACTGTTTTTAAAGGTACATAAGTTCTTTGGTTATCGGCTAATTTATGTGTGTAGGCATCAAAATATCTAAGAGAAAAGAAGAGATGTTGAATATATTTTTTAAAAATCACCAGGTGATTCTGATACACCCATGCTATTTATATATAGATTTCTCTTTGTGTATGAGGTGAATTTTACCTTATTTCAGGTGACTGACTAGTCGGACCTTGACTCACATGTCAGTGCTCCAAATTTGGTTATATAACCACTGGTTTGCTGTGCCTTAACAATCAAATTAGGAAAAAATAAGATTTAATATATAAGTTAAATCAAGGTTTATGTATATATTATTCCATACCTTTTATAGAAGGCAGTTATGTGTTAATGAAATTAATCTTTTATGGGAAGTGGCATCAATTCAAATTAATAAAGTATAGATGCTTATCTTGAGATTATACAGAATATGTTAATAATATGTATTCTTAGGATTTCCACTGGACAAAGCGGTTGCCTATGCAAAACTCAGGAATCCATTTGTAATCAATGACTTGAATATGCAGTATCTCATACAAGATAGGTGAGTGGTGAAGTTGGCTGAATTAAGGGAAGGAAAATTAACATTAATTTAGTACCTACTCTACGCTGACATGGCATCAGGTGTTTTTGCATTATTAATTCATTGTACTTTCAAAATACTCAGAAAGAGTTGTTTATTACCTAATTTTACAGATGAGGAATCTTGATAATTAGGAAGATTGATTAATCTAACCAAAGTCACAAGTAGTTCCCCAAGTAGTAGGACAGACTTCACCGAGATTGTTTAACAATTTCCAGAGCCTACTAAACCATTGAAAGTTATGAGCACTTTTTCTGTCATGGGACTGATAATGAAATTAGGACTTTACTCATTATAACTAGATTTTTTAAATGGTAAAGTATACCTATTTTGAAAAATATTATACTATATATTTTAGCATTCATTGAACAGGTAAAAAGCATGGATTTCTAATACATTATAAAATATGAGTGTATTTATGTATTTCATTCAATCGATGTTTCACTCCTATAGCTATTATAATCTCACCAGCATTCTATTTTCTAGTGTTACCATTACAATATGAGATTATATATACGAAAATGCTTTGTAAATATGAGACCCTATGGTTTTTTCACTCTGCTATTTTTTTCTGTTCTTCCAGAGAGTAACAATTATTAATATCTAAAATTTAAAACATTTTCTCAAGATTTACATATTAATTCATATATATGTATTTATATATATATACAGCTATAGCTATAGAAATGTATGTTTTAAAAGGTTTGAAAAGTAAAAGCATACTGAAAGCCATTTAATCTTGTCACTATATCATATTTTTTCTATAGAAAGCAATACATACACACAATCACATTTCACCAAATTAGAATCACTTTTCTCTAGTATACTGTGAACATTTCTCCATGTCATTAAATACTATTTGAGCATAAGGTTTTTAATGCTTAGGTAATGTTCTATCATTGTGATATATCAACTTTATTCAGCCATTTTTAAAATACATTTACGTTCTCAGTTTTAATAATTAGTATCCTAATAAGCTAGAAAAGAATTGTGCATAAATTTTTGTTGTTATTGCTGAATATTTCCTCAGAATACCTTTTTTCAATATTTGAAATGACATTTGTTTAAAAAATAAAAAGAGTTGATATATATACCCTTTTTATTTGTAGAACAGTAATAATGTCTTTTAAGAAAACTACAATAATATATTCATTGTGAAATGCAGCAATAAAACAATAAGGATGTTTTCCTTTTTCTTCAGGAGAGAAGTATATAGTATTCTTCAAGCTGAAGGTATTTTACTTCCTCGTTATGCAATTTTGAACCGTGACCCAAATAATCCCAAAGGTAAGAGTAAGAGATTTTAGCTTTCTTTGCCACTTGACATACTTTTGGGCCACATTCTTACAATAATTAACTGGAAGGAATTTAAAAAATTCATAGTGTTCTATTCCATTTTTAAAAAATAATCTAGGCCAGGCGCGGTGGTTCACGCCTGTAATCCCAGCACTTTGGGAGGCCCACGAGGTCAGCAGATCGAGGCCATCCTGGCTAACACAGTGAAACCCCGTCTCTACTGAAAATACAAAAAAATTAGCCGGGCGCGGTGGCGGGTGCCTGTGGTCCCAGCTACTTGGGAGGCTGAGGCAGGAGAATGGCGTGAACCCGGGAGGCGGAGCTTGCGGTGAGCCTAGATTGCGCTACTGCGCCTCAGCCTGGGCGGCAGAGCGAGACTCCGTCTCAAAAAAAAAAAAAGAAAAAAAGAAAAAATCTGAACAGCCAAACATATTCAATTAAAAGTTGACACAGAGTTAAAAGGCTAACTAATAATTTAGGAATTATTTATCCTTCTCTTCTTTGGCCTACCTTTGACATCTCTCTAAGAACCATGAGTTAGAATTTTGAAATTACATATGAGTGAATTTTTATTGATTAAGGGTGAACAAGTGATTTATCTATGACTATTGAATTAAGTATTAGAAACTTCATGCTACAATGCCAAAAACTAAATACTGGCCAAGAATTTGGAAATACAGTTGGCCCTGGAACAGCATGGGTTTGAACTCTGCCAGTCTGCTTATTCACGGAATAAACATGAATTGAAAATACTGGATTCGTGGGTCCCACATATACTGATAGCCGACTTTTCATTTACATGGATTCTGCAGAGCCAACTTTGGGACTTGAGTATGTGAAGATTTTGGTATACGAGGGGGTTCCTGGAACCAGTCACCGCTTATAACAAGGGGCAACAGTACTTCTATTTTAAAGCACTGTTTGCTCCTTTTTTTCTGGTTATCTAAAACATAGCATGGAAGCTATACCTAACTTAGTCTGAAGGCAAGATATATGTTTGTCTTAAGAGTTAACATTCTGTTCACACTTACTATTGTGGGGAATTTTGATGAATTTATCATACCTTAAACCATCTTTTATTAAAAACTAGAGGGGGGCGCAGAACAAGATGTCCGAATATACCCTCCAATGATTGTCCCACTCCCCACAGGAGCACCAAATTATAAACTAGCAATGCAAGAAAGCACCTTCGTAAGAACCGAAAAATTAGTCTACCATGGTGGTGCCTCTGTGAACATGTCGGCAAGAGTTGTAGCATTCCTGGGCTTAGGGCGCCCCCTAATGCTAATATAGCTGCAGTGACCTCAGGCTTCGATCGTAACACGTATGTCTTTTTTGAATATGTGGAAAGCTTTCTCAAGAAGGATGGGCACAAAGAAGCCCAAACGGTGAAGACTGAAATAAATATCTAGCTTGTAAATACCGAGACATCAGTGAATGTCTACAAGCATCAAGAACATCCAGAAAAATGTGACCTCACCAAACAAACTAAATAAGGTACCAGTTACGAATCCTGGAGTGATGTAGATATGTGACCTTTCAGACAGAGAATTCAAAATAGCTGTCTTGAGGAAGCTCAAGAACTGCAAGGTAACATGGAGAGTGAATCAGAATTGTATCATGAGAAATTAACAAAGAGATTGAAATAATTCAAAACCATCAAGCCAAAATTCTGGAACTGAAAAATTCAGTTGACAAACTGAAATATACATCAAAGCCTCTCAACAGCAAAGTGGATCAAGTAGAAGAATTAGTGAGCTTGAAGACCGGCTATGTGAAAATACATAGCCAGAGGAGAAAGAGAGGAAAAGAATGAAACACACCTAAGGACTAAAGAGACCTGACAGAGGAGTCTGAACAAACTTCTCAGGTAGCACTTTTCATCTTTTTGGCCCACTCCTTTCTTCATTTTTCTTTGACAACTTTGGGACCTATGTAGTTAATAAGAGGAAGGGAAAATGTTTTTATATATATATATATATATCTTAAAAATAGCCTCAAAGGGACAAATCCAATAATTAGTGCTCTTAAAGAAAACATAGAGAGATCATGGTAGAAAGTTTATTGAAAGAAACAATAACAACTTTCCAAACCTAAAGAAAGATATGAATATCCATAGATCATAGAAGAATATGAATATTTAACTCAAATAAGACATATATTAATCAAACTCTGAAAGGTCAAGGATAAACAAAGATCCTTAAAACACCCAGAGATTAGATGTATATAACTTTTAAAGAAGCTCTGATACAGCTGGCAGCTGACATCTAAACAGAAAGCTTATAGGCTAGGAGAGAGTGTGATGGCATTCAAAGTATTGAAGGAAAAAAGAAAACTTCGAACCTAGAATATTCTATTCAGCAAAATTATCCTTCAAACATGAAGACATAATAGATTTTACTAAACAAAAGCTGAGGGATTCATGAATTACCAATATCCTGGAATTTCCTATCCTTATAGGATAGGATGAGAAAAAGATCTTACAGGGTCTCTAAGGAAATGTTTTACAGGAAATGCTAAAAGGAGTTCATCAATCTGATAGAAAAATACATTAACAATTAGAAATCATCTGGGCCAGGTGCAGTGGCTCACGCCTGTCCCAGCACTTTGGGAGGCTGAGGCTGGTGGATCACGAGGTCAGGAGATCGAGACCATCCTGGCTAACATGGTGAGACCCTGTCTCTACTAAAAATACAAAAAAAATTAGCCGGGCTTGGTGGCGGGTGCCTGTAGTCCCAGCTACTCAGGAGGTTGAGGCAGGAGAATGGCGTGAACCCAGGAGGCAGAGCTTGCAGTGAGCCAAGATCGTGCCACTGCACTCCAGCCTGGGTGACTGAGAAAGACTCCATCTCAAAAAAAAAAAAAAAAATTCAAGAAATCATCTTAATGTGTAAAACTCATTGGTAATAGTAAGTGCACAGATAAGTACATAATAGTCTAACACTGTCATTGTGGTGTACAAACCTCTTATGTATTTCATAGGAAGACTAAAAGGCAAACCTGTCAGAAATAATAACTACAGCAACTTCTTACGAGTATAGAAACATAAAAATAGAGACAACAAAAAGCCAAAACATGGATGGGCGAAATGGAGTTAAAATGTAGAGTTTTTAAAATTTTCTCTTTCTTTTTCTTTTCTTTGTAATCAGAGTTGTCATCAATTTAAAATAATTGCTAATAAAATGTTATTTGTAAGCCTTATGGTAATCACAAAACAAAAACCTATAACAGATACACAAAAAATAAAAAGAAATTAAAACATACTACCGGAGAGAATTACATACATATATATGTATTTGAGACAGGGTCTTGCTCTTCACCCATGTTGGAGTGAAGTGGCATGATGGCATTTCACCCATGTTGGAGTGAAGTGGCGTGATCACTTTTCACTATAGCCTCAAACTCCCTGGTGATTCTCCCACTTCAGCTTCCTGAGTAGCTGGGACTACAAGCACAAGCCACCATGTCCAAGTAATTATTTTTTGTAGGGACAGGGTCTCACTGTGTAGCCCAGGCTGGTTTCAAAACTCCTTGGCTTATGTGGTCCTCCTGTCTCAGACTCCCGAAGTGCTGGGGGCCATCATGCCCAGGCAGAAAATCACTTTCCCATAAAGGAATACAGGAAGGAAAGAAGGGAGGACAAAAAAATAAAAACCTCAGAAAACAAATACCAAAATAGCAGAAGCAAGTCTTTACCTATCAATAATAACATGAATGTAAATGGGCTAAATTCTTGCATCAAAAGACATAGAGTTGCAAAATGGATTAAAAAATAAGACCCAACTCTATACTGTCTACATATGATCATTTCAGTTGATGGAGAAAAAGCATTTGATAAAATTAAACATCCTTTCGTGATAAAATCTCTCAAAACACTGGGTATGGAATGAACTTACCTTTATATGATAAAAGGCCTATATGACCAACCCACAGCTAACATCATACTGAACAGGGAAAAGGTAAAAATATTTCCTCTAAGACTTGGAACAAGACAAAGATGTCTACTTTCATCTCTTTTATTCAACTTAGTACTGGAAATTATAGCCAGAGAAATTAGGGAAGAGAAGGAAATAAAGGGCATCCAAATTGAAAAGAAAGGAGTTAAATTATCCTTGTTTATAGATGATATGATCTTATAGTTAGAAAATCCTAGAGTCTCTACCACAAAACTATTAGAACAAGTTCAGTAAAGTTGCAGGATACAATATCAACTTACAAAAATCCATAGCATTTCTATATGTGAACAGCAAACAATCTGAAAAAGAAACCAAAAAAAAAGTAATCCCATTTACAATAGCTACAAATAAAGTAAATACCTAAGAATTCACTTAAAGAAATGAAAGATCTCTTCTACAATGAAAACCATAAAATGCTGATGAAAGAAATTGAAGAGAACACACCAAAAAATGGAAAAATACTCCATTTTCATAGATTGAAAGAATTGCCATACTACCCAAAGCTGTCTACAGATTCAATGCAGTCAGAATACTAAAGACATTCTTCACAGAAATAGAAAAAAAAAATACTAAAATTTATATGGAACCACAAAAGACTCAGAATAGTCATAGCCAGCCTGAGCAAAAACAACAAAACTGGAGGAATCACAATATTTGACTTTTAAGTTACACTACAAAGCTATAGTAACCAAAACAGGATGGTACTGGCATCGAAACATAGACCAAAGGAACAGAATACAGAATCCAGAAAAAAGTACACACATTTGCAATTAACTCATTTTCGACAAAGTTGACCAGAATGTCCACTGGGGAAGGGACAGTCTCTTCAGTAAGTAGTGTTGGGAAAACTTGGTATCTATATGCAGGATCAAATTAGGCCCCTATCTTTCTCTATATACATAATCAAAATGGGTTAAATACTTAAATCTAAGACCTGAAAATATGCAACTACTAGAAGAAAACATTGTAGAAACACTCCAGGATATTGGTCTGGGCAAATGTTTCTTGAGTAAGACCTCAGAAACTCAAGCAACCAAAGCAAAAATGTGCTAATGGGATCACATCAACATGAAAAGCTTCTGCACAGGAAAGGAAATAATACAGTGAAGAGACAGTCCACAGAATGGGAGAAAATATTTGTAAACTACCCATTTGACAAGGGACTAGTAACCAGAATATATAAGAAACTCAAACAGCTCTATAGGAAAAAAACAATCTAATTAAAATATGGGCAAAGATTTGAACAGATTTTTCTCGAAGGAAGACATACAAATGACCAATAGGTATATGAAAATATGCTCAACGTCACCAATCACCAGAGAAATGCACATCAAATCTATAATGAAATATCAACTCATCCCAGTTAAAATGGCTTTTATCAAGAAGACAAGCAATAAGAAATGTTTGTGAGGATGTGAAGAAAGGGAATACTGTTGGTGGGAATATAAATTAGTAAAGCCACTATTGAGAACAGAATGGAGGTTCCTCAAAAAACTAAAAATAGAGCTACCATATGATCTTGCAATCTCACTGCTGAGTATATGTCCAAAAAAAGAGGAAATCAGTATATTGAAGAGATATTTGCACTCATGTGTATTGCAGCACCACTTGGAATGGCCAGTATAGAAACAACCTAAGTGTCCATTAATGGATAAAGAAAATGTACCTATAGACAATGGTATACTATTCAGCCATAAAAAGAATGAAATCCTGTCATTTGCAACAACATGGATGAAACTGGAAGTCTTATGTTAAGTAAAATAAGCCAGGCAAGAAAGAAATATTGCATGTTTTCACGTGTGGGAGCTTTAAAAAAAAAAAAAGATGAACTCTTAGAGCTTGAGCATAGAATAATTGTTACTGGAGGGAAGGGTTGCAAGGATGACGGGGATAAAGTGAGGATGGTTAGTGAATATAAAAATGCAGTTATATAGAATGAATAAGATCCAGCATTTGGTAGCATAATAGGGTGACTGTAGTTCACAATAATTTCTTTTATATTTTGAAATAACTAAGAGTGACATTAGAATGTTCCTAACACAAAGAAATGATAAATGTTTGAGATGGTGAATACCCCAACTATTCCAATTTGATTATTAGACCATTGTATGCCTGTATCAGAATTTCATATGGACCGCGTAAATATATACAACTACTATGTACCCATGATGGTTAAAAATAACATTTAAAAAAGAGATAAAGTAATCATCGTCTTAAGCAGGAAACTTTTCTTGTCTAGAGGTAAAAATTTAACTTTCTAATTGAATTGCTGGCTTACTTTGCATATGAGTTACTTTCTAACTTAAGTAACTTCATGTTTTACGATATCTGTGATACAAATAATCTCACACAGTTTTCAGAAGATGGTGACATTCTTGAGTTAATTCTCAGTCTTGATATAATAATTTCACGTCTAACTTTGAATTCTGTGGTGTGGTAGTGTGAAATGGTAAGTCTGTAAAATTTTGAAGAACTATAGCTTTTAATGCCATATATATCATAAACGTTGACATATGTTATTTATATAAACATGTATGATTAAAATCAAGTGAGTACATTATCCAAATTTACTTTTCTTTTATGATCTTTTAGTAAAAAAAGTCCTCGATAATAATGTGGTGTCCTGATAATATAATATATGATATTTCTTGCAATCATGTTTGTTTTATAGAATGTAATCTGATTGAAGGGGAAGATCATGTAGAAGTAAATGGGGAAGTTTTTCAAAAGCCATTTGTAGAAAAGCCAGTCAGTGCAGAAGATCACAATGTTTACATTTATTACCCAACTTCTGCTGGTGGTGGAAGTCAAAGACTCTTTAGAAAGGTAAAACCTTTGTAACTTTTGTATGAATACTCTTCTTTAGACATTGTTGTGTAAGTGTTATTAAAAGCAATCAAGCATTTAATTATGGTTAAATATTGAACTCTTGAAAATGTATCATTTAGAGGTAAATTTATAAAACTGATATACTTTATTAGAAAGGCATGGCATCATTTTAGTTATTTAATGTTGTTAAGCAGAATTTCTGCCTGCAGAATGCCAGGAAGGATACTTGACTTTTCTTTTCCCTCCCATTTTGTATATCTGTCAAACTAGAAATTCACTTAAGCTGTAGCAGTATTTTAGAATAATGGCCCAGAAAAATAACAGCTCATAGAAAAAGTAACACTGATAACTTTACATACCTGAAAGTACACTTAATTATACTCATAATAAAATAAATGCAAATCAAATCTAGATATAATGACATTGTATTACTTTTTGGATTGACAAAGATAAAAAATATTGAACTAGTTGAGAAATAAGCACAAGGGCAAACATTGTTGGCAGAAATACAAAGTAGTGTAGCCTCTTAACAACATAATTTAGCAATGTATCAGAATGTAAAATGCATATACATGTATAAAAATTGATGAAAATTCAAATTAAGAACACAGTGAGATACCATTTTAACATCCATTAAAGTAGCAGGTATTAAGAAGCCTAACAGTAACAAGTGTAAACAAGGATGTAGAACAGTGAAAACTTACACATTGCTGATGAGACCCTACATTGTTAAAATAGTTGATAAAGATTTTTCATTATCTTCATAAGTTGAATATGAGCACATTCTATCACCGAGCAGTTCCACTTTTATTATATACCTTAGGAACACTCATACAAGTTTGCTGTTGCAACACATAAGAACGTTGAAAGCAACGTTGTAATCACCAAAGCTTGGAAAACAACCTAAACATACATTGATAGGAGAATGGATAAATTCTAGTGTATTTATACAGTGGAAAATTCTAGAGTAGTAAAAATGAACAAGCTTACATGCAGCAACCTGGATGAATCTTAGGAATATAACTCTTACTGTTCATTGTATTTCTATACTCTTTAATATGTAAGTTATGGTAACAATAGAGACTACTATAGTGCCAAGTATGTAGTAAGTTTTGTTAATTATTTGTGGATTAAAAATGTATTTGAAAATGTCTAAGATGGAAATAGGTGGTTAATAAACTATTTGTCATTTTATCATAAAAATGAGGGAAATAATTTGCTTTTTTATATCGATGGACATCTTTTGTTTTCAGATTGGCAGTAGAAGTAGTGTTTATTCTCCAGAAAGCAATGTACGAAAAACAGGCTCATATATATATGAAGAGTTTATGCCCACAGATGGTACTGATGTTAAGGTAGGATTGATTAAAATAGATTTTAGTTTTATATTTCAAGTTTACCAATGATATCAGAAAAAGAAGTTAATCTTTAACTGTATCTAACCTTTATTCAGGATCTCTTTCTTTTTGATTAGGGATTCCTCATGTTTTGTACCATCAACATCTTTAGCAGTCTGAAGCCTATGGACTCTTTTTTAAGAGTAGTGTTTTTAAATGCTTTAAACATGTAAGATTATGATGGAGACAAATTTTATTAAAATATAATAAAATATTTAAAAACCAACTTTGTGTTAAACATAATAAGTCTTTAAAGGGGCATTAAATAATAAGATACCAGGGATAAAGGTCTAATAACCATCACAGTTTCCAAGCAGTGATTAGTGTAAGTGAGGTTTTGAGATCTGTGACAACTGTGATGTGATATAAAACGTGTCTGTCATTTTAGTTGGTGACAAATAAGGTCTTAATTGCTTTACCTTCAGCCATTCTTTCTCTAACTGGAATGTTTTCTAAAGTATAAATCTGAGTATGAATCCTTAAAAGTTCTCTAGTGGATCCTTATTGACCACAGGATAATAACCAGATTCATAATCCTGCCATACAAGATATTTCAGTGTCCTCTGTTTGTCTTATAAACCTCATTTCTTACAGTATAAACTACATCAGATAACTTGCCAATACCTGAATACATCATGCTGTTCACGTCTCTTTCTTTTACTTTTCTTCTCTTATCTGCACTCAGATTCATACCCTCACCCTTTTAAAGATTTTCTTTTGGGATTTTTTTTTTCCCTATAATAGTTATTTGCATCTCTCATTTGTTAAACTAAAACAATTTGAAGACAGCAATCACATTGTATACATCCTAGTATTCCCTCATAATACTCAGTATAATAGTTCTCTATAGAGAATGAAACTTCGCTCTACCAATTTTGCCATATAATGATTACTTACAACCTTTCCCAATGAACTGAAAATTTGGGCATGTAAAATAAAAAGATGTGTCTAATAGCCTGGATTCAGAACTAGTTTTTAGTTATTGATTTTCACTGGATTTGTTGTCTGCTGGTTACACACACACTCATACACACACATATGTATTTATACATTTATTTAACATTTTTGAAAGGTTTATACAGTGGGTCCAGATTATGCCCATGCTGAAGCTCGAAAATCTCCAGCACTTGATGGCAAGGTGGAACGAGACAGTGAAGGAAAAGAAGTAAGATATCCTGTTATTCTCAATGCACGAGAGAAATTAATTGCTTGGAAAGTCTGCCTTGCTTTTAAGGTAAGATGTTATACAAATCTATAGATCCTTACAAAGGTAAATTCTGATTTTCTTTTTTGACTAAGACATTATTGGTGCTTATAATTGGAGAAGTAAACTGAGAAAGTAATTAATACATCTGAATGGTTCGTGTATTTTTCAAGGGATTCTTGTAGTGCCAGTATATTCTTTTGCATTATATAAAAGAAAACCTGGTCAGTTTATTCAGAAATTAAAATTACAGAAATGACTCAACTAATCAGTGTTTTAGGGTTATTGTCTAGTGTACTTTTTGAAACTGGCTTTAAGTGTTACTTTCATATAACTGGTAAGTTTTTTTGTTAAATGAAAACAGTTCTCAGTGGTCTAGCCCTGGCGATTGATTCTTTGGCCTAATATATGATAAAAGATGTTCATGAAAACAATATAAAAACATATCTTTCTGTTTTTTGTTTTTGTTTTTGTTTTTTTTTTGAGACAAGGGTCTTGCTGTCGCCCCGGCTGGAGTGCAGTGGCACGACCGGGTTCAAACTATTCTCCTGCTTCAGCCTCCAGAGTAGCTGGGATTACAGGCACCCACCACCACACCCGGCTAATTTTTGTATTTTCAGTAGAGAGGGGGTTTCGCCATGTTGGCCAGGCTAATCTCAAACTCCTGACCTCATGATCCGCCCACCTCGGCTTCCCAAAGTGCTGGAATTACAGGTGTGAGCCACTGCACCCAGCCAAAAACATTTCTTAAAAAAAACTTTTTGACTTTTGACATTTGACTAATTCTCTCAATCTATATTATTAGGTTTCTTCCTAACTACTATATAGTAAAGATTTAAATAGAAATAGTACAAGCTTCATTTAATGAAGGATAAAAATTTTACCTTTTTGAAATCTTGCCTTGGATCTGTAACTTAAAGGCTGGTATATGTTACTGACTATTAAACAATAAAGAATTACTTTGTGCCTTAATAATTTGAAGTGTCTTTCATGGAAGGAATGTTAGCCTGTAAATAAGTTTTAATAGCTTTATAGAAATCCTTTTATTATGCCAGGATTCTGAAAGCTGTGACAAAAAAATCACATTCTACTAATACCTGATGACTGAACATCAAATGTTAGATCAGAAAGTTCTTAGAGCCTGAGTGGCAAATTCATGCCTTTTGGCCATTTTCTTCTCCCAAATAAAGTAAGTTTATTACAGGTGTTCACGAATATGTGGTATTGGGGGTTTAAAAGATCACAGGATTTTGACTGGGTGTGGTGCCTCACACCCGTAATCCCAGCACTTTGGGGTTGCTGAAGTAGGTGGATTACTTGAGGCCAGGAACCCCAGACTCACCTGGCTAACATAGCAAAACCCTGTCCCTACTAAAAAATACAAAAATTAGCCTGGTGTGGTGGCACACGCCTGTAGTCCTAGCTACTCGGATGGCTGAGGCACAAGAATTCCTTGAACCTGGGAAGTGGAGGTTGCAGTGAGCCAAGATTGTGCCACTGCACTCCAGCCTGGGTGACAGAGTGACACTACCTCTCAAAACCAAACAAAACAGATCACAGAATTTCCTCTGGAATATGTCCTCAAAACTGTTCTCCATATCCTCCCTCCCTCTTTTTTTTTTTTGATTAACATGATGTAATTTCTGCTAGTGCCAAGTTTTTTGTTTTTTGTTTTTTTCAGATAATTTAACAATTTTGCTTTTGTTTTTAAATTAGATGTTAATTGAAGAACTTTGTGATAGAATATATTATTTTGAGGCCTCTCTAGCCGCTTATGCATTATTGTTCTACATCTACTTTATGATAAAAGACTTAAATAATCATATAGCCTCTATAATGTATTTTCAGAGTACTCAAGTTACAAATAAATAATTTCTTTCATTTCTTATTGTGAAGTAAACCAATATATAGTAATATACTTTTAAGCATTTATAAAATTTGATATGTTCTGATAGGACTAGAAAACTGTGAATCTTAATAATTTAAATTAAACCTTAAAGTTTATAACTTATTTTAAATAGCAAACAGTTTGTGGCTTTGATTTGTTACGGGCCAATGGACAGTCCTATGTCTGTGATGTCAATGGCTTCAGTTTTGTGAAAAATTCCATGAAGTATTATGATGACTGTGCAAAAATACTTGGGTAAGAATTTTTTAAATTTTCTTTCTACCTTCATATACTAGTTTTTCAGAAACCAAATAACTGTTAACATTAAATGGTCAGGTTTTTTTAAGCCTTCTGGAGTAAAGATCAGTGTTTATAAAATGATACCCTCGAAGACTATGCCAGATCCTGAATTATACTTTGGCTTATCAAAGACAGATTAATTTATGATCAGTATAGATGAAAACCTTTAACTTCATACGTTTACAAATACTATAACATGCTGATTGTTAGTCAAAAGTTTATTTGTTAGAATACATTATTCCTCAAATTTTTGCCATGTAACTACAGTGGAAAAGGTTTTCTTCCACTTAATGGACAAAATTAACATTCATGAAATAAATAAACAGAGTAAAATAGAAATATTTAGAATTCATGACTCTTTTGCATGACAATTCGTTCTACAAGCATATGTTACTTGATGATATTTTCTTAAGATTGTCAAGTGAATGTAAAAAAAACATTGTAGGTAGAAATGCCGTTTTTATATTCTTCAACCTGTTTTCTTTATACTTTGATTCAGAAGACTAGCAAAGCAATAACTATTTTTAAGACATTTCCAGGTATATATGACAAATCCATAGGAAACTTACATTAAAAAATGCTCAATAATTGGAGCCAGCTTTTTTACTGGTTAAGTATCCCTTATCCACAATGCTTGGGACCAGAAGTGTTTTGGATTTCAGATTTTCAGATTAAGAACATTTAACCCATAGTATGTTTCAAAGATTTACAAACTTACCCTTAAAGTGATGTTAGGGAGAGTTTACTAAATTTTAGCATAAATAAATGCTAAATTTAAACAAAACCAAAAAGTAAACAGTTTTCCATTTTTAACCTTATTGGTATACTAGTGATTTGTTAAGATGAACACAATATTTATAGTAGCATTTTAGGTGTTCAATAAACTGATAAGAACTTATCAGTAGCCACACAGAAGAGACAATCTTGAATTTCAGAATGTATGTAATTAGATATGATGTAATTGTAGTGATTTCTTTGAATCCAATGCTGATTGATATTTTAAAACTAAAGCAAATAATCTCAAATTTGTGAAATCCCATTGATGTGTCTAATACATCAATTTAGAACTGCTGATTTTTATTTTTTCTTGATCAGAATTTGATTCTGTGGGTTATTTTTTATGTGATGTAATCACTAGATATTTTAAGTCTTACGATTCTCTCTCATTATCATTAAGTACCCAGTTTTGTCTTAAAATGTACTAATTTTAAGTATTTCCTTTTTTGTCTTGAAGAAATATTGTAATGCGAGAACTGGCTCCACAATTTCATATTCCGTGGTCAATACCCTTAGAAGCTGAAGATATCCCAATTGTACCAACTACATCTGGAACTATGTAAGTCTGAATTGTTTTCATTTAGAAATTGAGTTCCCCTTGTCATCTGTGCTATTAGGATAAAAATGAAATTTCCGAATGATGATTAGACACTTTACTGTGTATGATTTCATATGATTCAGCTTAAAGTAGTAGATTATACGTATTTATAAGGGTCCACTAATTGTTACAAGTAAACTACTGAAACATGCCTGGATAATTATAGAATTGTTTAATCAAGCCATAAAAATTAAAAAGGTACCAATAGGTATGTTACTTAAAGGTTCACAGTGGTCTTACAACTTTTGCTCTCTCAAGTCATATCTTGCATAATTATACCAGTATTGCGAAAATGTTTCATAACATTCTATTACCGAAAATTATTCCTTTAAATTCATGTCAGTTGACTGAATGCTTTTTTTTCCACAACTTAGATATTTATATTAACATGTTAAATATCCTGAGATGTACTGATGATAGGGGGAACAAATTTTATTTTTAATCAGCATTTTTCATAGTGATTTAACACAAAAGTGTTAAATAAAATTTTTTCAGGTAACTCAGCTGATATCCTGCAGGGTTATGTTCTGCAGTTCACACTTCAGCAAACACTAGATTATACCTCTTAATTCTAGCATGCTTCTAAGATGATTTTATCTTCCAGTAATTTGAGTTTTAAATACTTGTTCTCCTTAGATGGGCAAAACTTAGCAAATATATACATATAGCAACCATCATGTAAAGTTTTATTTTGATTTAATGAAGTCTCAGTCTGTAATGATCTAATGCTACAGAGCAGATATTTAATAAAGCTCAGAAATTGTAGTCCGTCTACTTTTATCCCAGAGTTAAGGTAGCCATTTCTAGAGAAGAAAAGGTTATATTCTATTATATAGCTTAATGTCACCCCCCTCCCCCAGCTTCTTAAGTTCATTTTGAATTTGATTTCATAAAGTTAAAACTAGATAGTTGTAAGTATTATTCTTCGTGGGAAAGATCTTGAAATGGTAAAAGATGGCTCTAAATAAATGATTAAATGTTCATATTAATCTGAATTATACAACACAAATCTTTTTTAGAGAATTAAGAACATATATATTTTTTCATTTTAGGATGGAACTTAGATGTGTCATAGCTGTTATACGTCATGGGGATCGAACACCAAAACAAAAAATGAAAATGGAAGTGAGGCATCAAAAGTATGTTTTAAGATGAATAATTTGACATGCATGATATAATTTTAAGATTTCTGATAAGTGATCAACTCTTTTGATTAATACATCATATAGAAAAACTTTTATCTACCCTCTCTTGGCCATTTATATTTAAACCCGTGGATGCATATAAAATCCATTTAAAATATGTTCATTAGCATCTAAAATTATTGTGGCAATATTCATAAATATCATCAGTCTGCCCTGGCTTTCATTTATTGTCATAAAAGTGTTCTATTTAATCTTTGCTTATCACTCTCTTGTATTGCATTCTGAGAGTGAATAATCCCTCAGCCTTTTAGAAGAAAATTCGTAGAGTGAAAGTTTCTGTTATTTCTATCCAGTGTTTGATTTGGAGATGATAAAATTTGAAAACCCTGAACCATTAAGTATGTGTTGACACAAGTAATTTTCAATGTGTATGCAATGACTTCAGAAAATATATAATATTATGAATTATAATTGTATGTTTGGTTTCCGTGAAAAAACTTTGAAAAGTAGTATGGTGATTACTAGTTTGGTATCATTTAGGGAAGTACTAAGTTTTATCAGTCAAAGTTGAGCAGCAACATGTATAGTGAAAGAGGAAACACAGTACTTGAAATCCTTAGATCCCAAGTTCTAGTCCCATAGCTTATCATTTATTATTTGTTAGTTTAAACATATATTGGTAATGTTAATTATTGCAAGTGACTAACAGTGTTCTTTTTTTATAAGATTTTTTGATCTTTTTGAAAAATGTGATGGATATAAATCAGGGAAATTAAAACTCAAAAAACCAAAACAGTTACAGGCAAGTGTATTTGCTTTCTTGTTTAGTTTTAAATTTTTTAATGGTAAAATTACATAAAAATTCAATTTTCTGTTAATTTATTTTATAGGAAGTGCTAGATATTGCACGACAGCTTCTTATGGAGCTGGGACAAAATAATGATTCTGAAATTGAAGAAAACAAGCCAAAACTTGAACAACTTAAGACTGTATTAGAGATGTGAGTATCTTTTTGAAACCCTTAATCACGATACTACATATAGCTCTTCTTTTTTATGTATGTGATTTTCCATTTTAATTACTTTCACAGTCTGATCTTTTTACTCTTTGTTACTATAGTTGAAATGTGAAGGAAAATCTAATGTGAAAAAAATAGATTGTTGTATTGAAGGTTTTAGCTCTGGTTTTAATTTAGGTGAGAAGATTAAACAAGGACATCAGATTTGTTTCTTCTGTGAAATACTGCTTAGAATCAAGGCCACATTGCTAACTTGACCATAGATTCATTGCAGTTTAAATATAAAAAATTTGAGCTTTGCCTTAATCAAGTAAAATGGATACCCATCAATATTCCTGTTACAGCTCTACATTTTTAACCTCTTATAATCTTATTTCCTTTATTTCTTAAAACACATACATCTGTGTTTTTACATATTTCTGTACTTTATCTCTTCAGAGTTGTCTTTTTTTTTTTTTTTTTTTTTTTTTTTGAGACAGGGTCTTATTCTGTCACCCAGGCTGGAGTCAGTGGTATGATCTCAGCTCACTGCAACCTCCCCCTCCCAGGTTCAAGCGATTCTCGTGCCTCAGCCTCCCAAGTATCTGGGACCACAGGTGCACGCCACCATGCCTGGCTAAGTTTTGTATTGTTAGTGGAGACAGTTTCACCATGTTGGCCGGGCTGGTATTGAACTCCTGACCTCAAGTGATCCGCTCACCTCGGCCTCCCAAAGTGCTGGGATTACAGGCTTGAGCCATGGCACCCATGCCTGTAATTTTTAGAAAAACATTTTTGTTTTTAATGTGGTTAGAATGATGATATATGGTGCAATTTTTTTTTTTTTTTTGGCTAGAATATTTTGAAGAATTAAACAGGCGATTACAGATAAAAGAGAGCATGAATATGTGAGATTTAGTTTTTCCCTACATTGTCTATTCTGCTTATCATTTTATTTTTCAGGTATGGTCATTTTTCTGGAATAAATCGTAAGGTTCAGTTGACTTATCTCCCTCATGGTTGTCCTAAAACATCTAGTGAAGAGGAGGGTATGTCATTCTTAATGCTTATACAGTAGTTTTATTTATATGTAGTAACTTGTTATTCACTGTTGATTACTTTTGGACCATCTTTTGCTTCGTAGTTTAGGACTGGCATGGTGAGGAAAAATAAAGTGGAATTATCTTAGCTGTGCTTCCTTTAAATAAAGGATACATTTTTACATCACCTACTCTTTAAATAAAGGATAGATTTTAATATTTTGAAAACTGCATAGGACTTCCTTTTAACTGTGAGATTGTTTCAGAAAACGTATTTATTTATAACTGTTATTTAATGGGCCCCTTACATCACCTTTTGATAGCAGAGGGCAGAGTATCTAAGAAGAAAGCCCAAGAAGTACAAAAAGACTTTGAAAAAATATACAATTAACCTGTTTTTAAAATAAATGGATATTTTCTTCCACCCAGTAAACCAGAGTAAGTGTTTAAACAAGTTTGGTCTCCTAAGAGCAGTTAATATCCACATTTATAAATACATTTACCTTACAAAAGAAAAGGGTAGGGATTGAGGAAGTCATTTCATAGAGAAATGCAGATGACCAATAAAATAATAATGATAGTAATAAGAATCTGTCTTGCCTATCATATTGGCAAAGTACTTTCTTCATTTCTGTTTTAAACTGGTAATAAAATGTGCTGATGAGAATTCGTTGAGACAGGATTTCAGTCTATAGTAGAAATATAAATTGGCACAGTTTTCTGAAATGTAATTTGGCAATATATCAAAAACTTCAAAAGATGTTCTTATGCTTTGACCTGAATTCTGCTTATCAGAATCTAACCCAAAGAAGTAATCAGATGTTCAGGGAAAGATTGATCTATAGGGATATTCATAGTGGTATTACTTATAGTAGCAAAAATTAAAGTAATGATTATCTTAAATGCAGACACAAATTTATAATAATCTTTATATATATATATTTTAACATTTGATATATTACTCTTATCACATTTTGTGGTTAATAGTAATACAGGTTAATTTTCTATATCTTCGTATTTATCATCAAAAACATTCTGTAAACAAATAATTTAAAAAGTTAGGTAACTAACTTTCCTTCCGTAAATTAATATTGATCTATATGACAAAGCTCACAGAACTGCTAACTAGCTGCAGGTGAAGGGGTGATTTCCTCTCACCTTTTAAAGAATCATTATTAAGTTCTTTTAGTGCTTATAATGCTTATTCATGAATTACTTTTTTTCAGAACCCAACACAGATCTTAATATCATGAAAAGGAGTAGGTCAAAATTAAGTACAGAAACTCATTAACTTATGGTATTTTCTTTGTCCAAGAAAATACTTTGATTTGTAACATGCAGATTCCACAAGTTCAAATTAAAAAGCTGCTCTTGATTACCTTTTGTTAGCATAAAATTTATTAGATTGTATGAAATTTATTAGATTGCATAAAATTTAAATTAGAATAAATGTTAGGCTCTGTCATCTCACATCTTCCTAAAAATGATGCAAATCACCGATTTCCAATCTTAAAAACGTGTATCTGGCCGGGCGCAGTGGCTCACGCCTTAATCCCAGCACTTTAGGAGGCCGAGGTGGGTGGATCACTTGAGGTCGAGACCAGCCTGGCCAACATGCTGAAAACCCCGTCTCTACTAAAAAGACAAAAATTAGCCAGGCGCCTATAGTCCCAGTTACTCAGGAAGGTGAGGCAGGAGAATTGCTCAAACCTAGGAGGCGGAGGTTGCGGTGAGCCGAGATCTTGCCACTGCACTCCAGCCTGGGCGACCAAGCGAGACTCTGTCTCAAAAAACAAAAAACAACAACAAAAAAATATATATCTTCTTCACTTCAACTAATGTATTTTCTTTTATGGGACAGCACTGAAAAGGGTGCTTGATAGCAAGGCACATAAAACCTGGATTCTGGCATCAAGGAGCTGTCAATCCAGCAGACATAGCACAACTAAATTAAGTACACTGAAGAAATTACTATGAAAACAGGCAAGGGAGAAACGTTACATCCCTGAAGAAAATTGGGAGCCATTTTTGTAAAGTATGAGAGAGATTTTCAAATTTCAGTAAGATTTAAACAGGAATAGCAAGGGAGTATTCCTTACCGAAGCACTGCCTACAAACAGCATTAAGGGACATACATGCAACAACATTTAAGGAAGAAAATATCCTACATATGGGCCATATTTCACCACAGAAGAGAGCACAGACAAAAAATTAATCTTAAGTCTGTTTAAAAAAAAACTTAACATTTGTTTTATTCATTCATATGTGTCATAGACAGCCGAAGAGAAGAACCATCTTTACTTCTGGTTCTAAAATGGGGAGGTGAATTAACTCCTGCAGGCAGGGTCCAGGCTGAAGAACTTGGAAGAGCTTTCAGGTGTATGTATCCTGGAGGTCAAGGTAAATCTTAGAGTTTTCTTTAATTTGACTAATTTCATAAATTGTATTTTGAAATCCTCATTTTTGATGTTATTAAATATTTATAGAAATACAATGAAATGAAAATATAGCTGAAGTGATTTGAGGATTTATTTTCAGGAGATTATGCAGGATTTCCTGGTTGTGGTTTACTTAGATTACATAGCACCTACAGACATGACCTCAAAATATATGCCTCTGATGAAGGACGAGTCCAGATGACTGCAGCTGCTTTTGCAAAGGTACAAATAATTTTTTTTTTAGAATTACTAGAGTTTTTAATCTAATACTGCATCTTAAAACATTTTTGGCTGTGCGCAGTGGCTTACACCTGTAATCCTAGCACTTTGGGAAGCTGAGGTGGTCAGATCACTCGAGCCCAGGAGTTTGAGACCAGCCTGGGCAATATGACGAAACCCTGTCTCTACAAAAAAATTGAAGAAAAAAAAATGAGTCAGATGTAGTGGTTCACACCTGTAGTCCCAGCAGCTCAGGAGGCTGAGGTGGGAGGGACCACCTGAGCCCAGGAGGTCAAGGCTACAATGAGCCAAAATCACGCCACTGCACTCTACCCCAGGCAACAGTGTGAGACCCTTGTCTCAAAAAAAAAAAAAAAAAAAAAAAAAAATTTAACTAAGTAATATTTAAAAATTCTGTATTTGGAACTTTCAAGTAAAACCCTAAAATGACAATAATCAATTGTCATATTAATAAAGTTTATTTACTGTAAACTTACTTTATACCTTATGAAAATCAATATGTAACAAATATTATTTTACATATTAATTTTTTAAATTCGTGTTTTCTTTATTTAATATGCTTAGGGGCTTTTAGCTTTGGAAGGAGAGCTTACGCCCATTCTTGTTCAAATGGTGAAAAGTGCAAACATGAACGGTCTTTTGGATAGTGATAGTGACTCTTTGAGCAGTTGTCAGCAACGTGTGAAGGCAAGGCTTCATGAAATACTTCAGAAAGACAGAGATTTTACTGCTGAAGATTATGAAAAGGTGGGTCTTAGCAAACTCTTTTATATTGTGAAATATTACACACACACACAGAAAAGTGATAACTGCATAAAACATAAATGTAGAGCTTATTGTATTATAAAGCAAATACACATGTTATCATCCTCCAAGTAAAGAAATAGAACATTGGAACAACTTTGGCTTCTGTATGCCCCTTCCCAATCGCAACCCATCCCCTACCTCCTCAAAAAAACTACTGTCCTGACTTTTTATATTCTTTTCATATCCAGAATACTTACTTGGATAATGAGTATAGTCTCTAACCAGTGTAGTCTCATTTTTGGCTTTTTTCTAACTTTAAATCTATTGATTTTAATTGACAAATTAAAATTATATATGTTTATAACACATGTTTTAAAGTATATATGCATTGTGAAATGGCTAACTCAAGCTAATTTATGTATTACCTCACATCCTTATTTTTTTGTGACGAGAACATTTGAAATCTACTCTCAGCCATTTTCAAGGATAAAATACATTGCTATTACTATAATCACAATGTTGTACAATAGAGCTCCTGAACTTATTCCTTTTATCTAACTGAACTTGTGTATCGCTTGACCAACATCTTCCCAACCCCTTCCTTTTCCAGCCTCTGGTAGCCATCATTTTACTCTGCTTCTGAGTTTAACTTTTTTAGATTCTACATATAAGTGAGATTACACATATTTGTCATTCTGTGCCTGGCTTATTTCATTTAACATAATGTCTTCTAGGTTCATCCATGTTGTTGCTAATGATAGGATTTCCTTCTTTTTAAGGCTAGATGATGATATTTCATTGTGTATATATACTACACTTCCTTTATTCGTTCATCTGTTATTGGACAGGTTGATTCCAGATCTTATCTATTGTGAACAGTACTACAATAAACATAGGAATGCAAATATCTCCTTGACATATGATTCCATTTCCTTTAGTTATATACCTAGCATTGGGATTGTTGGATCATATAGTAATTCTGTCTTCAGTTTTTTGAGCAGTGTTCATACTGTTTTCTATAGTGGCTCTACAATATTAATTTACTTTGGCTATTTTTTAAGGTTCATATAATAGAACATGTTCTATTTTATATTTGACTTCTTTTATTTAATATTTTATTTGTGAAATTCAACCATAGTAAGTAATGGTCATAGTTAGTTAATAATCATTGCTGTGTTTGTTGTATTACATTTCAGGGTTGGCAGAACTTTTCTGTAAGACACCAGATAGTAAATATTTTATTTAAAAAAATTAGACTTTGCAGTCCAAATATGGTCTGTATTGCTTTTTTTTTTTTTTTAACTGCCTTTTAAGCATGTAAAAACCATTCTTAGCCCATGGCCTGTGTGACAGGCCACATTTGACCTGCAGGCTATAGTTTGGTGACCCATGTACTATTTTATGAACATATTACAATTTATATATGCTTTATATTATTGTTAGAGTTTTGGACTGTTAGGATTAAAGTTGCCATGAATACCCTTGTATGCCACCTGTGCAATGAGCATACATTTCTCTTCGGTATATTGTAGGAGTGGAATTGTTGTGACCATGGTATGCTTATTTACAATGTTAGTAGGTGATGTCAAACTGTTTTCTAGTGCCATTGAGCTAATTTACAGTCCCACCAGAGGTCCATGATAGTTGTCATTGCTCCACATATTCTCCATTCTTGGGATTCTCAGATGATTCCATTTTGGCCATTCTGGTGGATATACCTAGAATTCACTTTATTGTGGCTTCAGTGTCTGTTGACCATTTAAATATCTGTAGTTTGTGCAAATTTACATTTTTTTCTAGAATTGTTCTATGTTTTCCTGAATGCAGAAGTTCTTTTTCTGATATGAAGCCTTTGTTATATGTAGATAACACACCCTACTCTGAGCCTTAATGTTGTATGATCTTTTCTTTCTTTCTTATTTTTTTTTTTTGTTTTTTGTTTTAGAGAAAGGGTCTTGCTTCGTGACCCGGGCTGGAGTGCAGTGGTATGATCATAGCTCACTGTGTCCTAAAACCCCTGGGCTCAGGCGATCCTCCTGCTTCAGCGTCCTGAGTAGCTGAGATTACAGGTGCATGCCACCATGCTCAGCTAACTTTTTAAATTTTTGTAGAGACTGGGTCTCACTGTATTGCCAAGGCTAGTCTCGAACTCTTGGCCTCAAGTGATCCTCCTGCCTTGACATCCCAAGGCTTTGGAATTACAGGCATGAGCCACCAAGCCCAGCCAGTAATATCTTTTGATAAGCAGAAGTTCTAGTTTTTCATGATTTCCAAGTTCATTTTTTTCCCCTTATGGTCAATGCATTTTAATACATTGTCAGGATATCTTTTTCTGACTAGAGGCCATAAGGGGTATATATATATTCATTCTATAAATTTACTGTTTTGCTCTTCACATTTATCAGCAATCCAGATAAAATTGACTTTTATGTGTGCTATCAGCTAAGAATATCAAGGTTGATATTTCCCCTAACTATATGTACATCTGGGTGTCCCAGCAGAACATACTGAAAAGACTGTTCTTTCCCACTACTCAGATGTACCGTCTTTATTATATATGTGTAATCGGTTTCTAGACCCTGTATTCTGTTTGTTGATCCTTGTGCCAATGAATAATATCTCCCAACATGCAAATGGATCCTTCTTCAAGTGTTTCTTGGCCTTTTTTTTTTTTTTGCATTTTCATGTAAATTTTAAAACAAGCTGGTCAAAAATACTGTTGGGATTTTTTATTTAGGTTACATTATATCTGTAGTTTGTGCAAATTTACATTTTTTTCTCTAGTCTTTTAATCTGTGAATGTGTAGCTCATTTATTTAGATATTCTTTAATATCTTTCAATAATGTTTTATAATTTACTTCACAGGGTTCTTGTGCATCTTCGTTAGATTTAGGCTGAGGTGATTGATATTATGCAATTATAAATGGCCCCTCTTTAAAAGTTTTATTCTCTGTTGTTGGTGTATAGAAATATAATGAGTTTTAAAATATTGAGATTATAGGCATCAACCTTGTTGAACTCATTAGTTCTAATAATTTATCTAGATTTGTTTGATTCTTTAACAGCACATCCATATGTTTTTTGCTTTTCCAATCTTTGTTTTTTAAAAATTATTTTTCTTACTTTCCATAGCTAGTACCCTCAAAACAATATTAAGTAAAAGTAGCATTTCTAGTAACACTGAACATTAAATATAAAGTTTTCTGTAGATATTGTATATAGCTGCCCTTCTTCAAAATAAGGAGATTTCATTGTTTCTATTTGGCTAATAGATTATAAAAACTTACTGAACTTTGTCATATTTTCTTTCATCTATTACATCATACAGTTTTTTGAATGTGAAACTAACTTTAGTTCTAGAATATCCTCAACTTTTCCATGTATGATCTTTTTCATTCATATCACTGATTTTAGTTTGCTGATATTTTTGGTTAGGAATTTTGATCTATGTTCATGAGTCAGATTGGCCTTTACTTTTTTATTTTTGTTGTGTCTTTTATTTCAATGTCAGGATTATGCTAGTCTTGTAAAATTAGTTAGGAAATACTTCCTATTTGAGGGGAATAGTATATGTACAAATATTTCATTAAATTTTTGGTAAACTTTACGGGTAAATAGTATGGTAATTCCTATGGGTGTTTTCTTTGTGGGAAAGTTTCTAATTACGGATTTCAGAATAGTTTAGTACTTCTCTGTTATGTTTATGTCAGTATTAAATTGCATTTTTTAGAAGTTTGTTCATAATTTCCTCTTTAATTTCTTTGTAATTTGTGTAGGATCTATGGAGATGTCCCTTTTTCTTTCATAACATTATACTTTTTTCCTTTTTTTCTTGATCAGTTTCACCATGGTTGATTAGTTTATTAGTCCTTTCAAAGAACCATTGTTTAGATTTGTTAGGTCTCTGAATTACATGCTTATTTTCCATTTGATTAATTCTCATTGCTTAGTATTTTATTTCTTCTACCTCTCTAGTTTTATTTTGCTATTTTTCTGATTCTCAAAATTAATAACACCAGGTGAATACTTACTAAGTTATTAATGGTCTGTCTTTTACAAAATATGCACCCTAGGCCGTAAATTTTCCTTTATGCACTCTTTTGACTGGAGTCATTTATTATATTCATAAATATAAATATTTCCAACGGAGAAACAGCCTTAAATTCTAGACTCACTTTCTGGATCACTGACCTTTGAGTTTGCTTCCATAATTCTTTACCATCTTGTTATTTCACAGATTCCTTAAAACATAAGTATAGAAATTCTTTGCCCAGAATTTTTACTTACCTTCAGTGGATATATTGGTCTAAGTTACCTAGTTTATTATAACCAGAAGTAGAATTGCACTTTATATTTTTTTATATTTGTAGAAACTTACTTAATGTGATTAAATAACTTGCCAAGCTAAATGTCAAAACTGGAATGTGAAACTATATTTTTATTGATGGCTTTTATTAAATTCAAAAAAAAGAAATCATTACAAAGGCATAATAGGATAGTGGTTGAGAGCACCAATCTGTAGCCAGACTACCTGCATTTGAGTCCTACTCCTTCACATCCTAGTGGTTTGATCTTAAGCAAGTAGCTTAACCTCAGGTAAGTAACTCATCTGGGAAAAGAAAATAATAGATGCCTAGAGTTATTACATGTAAATATATGTCAAGTGGTCAGAACTGTATTCACACATGTTAAGAGAGTCAGCAGATTGTCATCAAATTCCATTAAGTTAGAGTATTTCTGCTAAATTTTCTTTAATGATAATGACAGCTAAGGTTTAATATTTTTTAACATGAGTTGAGTCTTTTACTTCCTCCCTGATCTTACTACTATACAGTTCACCCTTAGACAATATTGGGGTTAGAAGTGCCAGTTCCCCTCACAGCAAAAAAAATTAGTGTTTAACTTTTGACTCTGCAAAAACTTAACTACCAAGTTAAGCCTACCTCTGACTAGAAGCCTTAGCAATAATGTGAACAATGAACATATATGAAGGGTCTTCAAAAGTTAATGGAAAATGCTCATTATGTAAAAACTATACACAAATTTCAACCTTTTTTTTATAGTAAAATAAACTCGTATTAACTTGTTATAAAATGTCTGAACAGGATTTAGTTTGAGGCACTAACAAGAGTAAGACATCAGTTTGAAGAGAGCCCCTATGAGGGCAACATGAATTCTGCTAAAATTGAAACAAGAACAAACAGCAAATTTATGGCAAAGCTTAAGCAAAAAAAAATGGTGAAATCATTGATACTTTACAAAAAGTTTACAGGAACAGTTTCCCAAAGAAATCAGCAGTATACAAATGGATAACTCGTTTTAAGATGGGACAAGATGATGTCGAAGATGAAGCCCTCAACGGCAGACCATCTACATCAATTTTGCAAGGAAAAAATTAATCTTGTTCATGCCCTAATTGAAGAAGACCAATAATTAACAGCAGAAACAATAGCCAGTACCATAGACATCTCAGTTGATTCAACTTACACAATTCTGACTGAAAAATTAAAGTTGCGCAAACTTTCTGCTTAATTTAGAGTACCAGAACCATTGTGCTCAGATCAGCTATAGATAGTAGCAGAGCTTTCAATGGAAATTTTAAACAAGTGGGATGAAGATCCCGAAGCATTTCTTTGAAGAATTGTAACAGAAGATGAAACTGGTTTTACCAGGATGACCCTGAAGACAAAACGCAATCAAAGCAGTGGCTACCAAGAGGTAGAATTGGTCCAGTCAAAGCAGAAACAGACTGGTCAAGAGCAGAGGTCATGGCAGTAGTTTTTTGGGACTCTCAAGGCATTTTGCTTCTTGACTTTCTGGAGGGCTGAAAAGCAATAACATCTGCTTATTATGAGATTGTTTTGAGAGAGTTAGCCAAAGCATTAGCAGAAAACACCCACAAAATCTTCACTACAGAGTCCTCCATCGTGACAATGATCCTGCTTATTCCTCTCAGAAAAGGGCAGTTTTGCAAGAGTTTCAGTGGGAGATCGTTAGGAATCTACCTTGTGGTCCTGATATGGCTCCTTCTGACTTCTGTTTGTTTTCTAATCTTAAAAAAAATATTTAAGGGGCACTCATTTTTCTTCAGTTAATGTAAAAAGTCTGCATTGACATGGATAAATTCCCAGGATCCTCAGTTTTTTTAGGAATAGACTAAATGGCTGGTATCATTGCTTACAAAAGTGTCTTGACCCTGACAGACCTTGTGTTGAGAAATAAAGTTTTTTACTTTTATCTTTTAATTCAATTTTTTTTACATACTTTTTGGAAGTTCCCCAATATTTTGTATATGTATTCCATACTCTAGTCCTACAATAGAGTGAACTAGAGAAAAGAAAATGTTAAGAAAATTCTAAAGTGAGCTAGAGGAAAGAAAATGTTATTAAGAAAATTATAAGGAAGAGAAAATATATTTACTATTCCTTAAGGGGAAGTACATCATCTTAGAGGTCTTCATCTTTATTTTCACACTGAGTAGGCTGAGAAGAAGGAGGAAGAGGCGGGGTTAGTCATGCTGTCTTAAGGGTGGAAGAAGTGAAGGAGGTGGAAGGGGAGGCAGGAGAAACAGTACATTTTGGTGTAACTTTTAGGGAAAAACCCTGCATATATGTATGTGGTCCTTTGCAGTTCAAACCTGTGGTGTTCAAGGGTCAACTGTATTTTGTGGTCATTTTAATTTCTGCTATGGAATTATTCTCCAGCTACTGGAAAATTTTGTATATGTATATTGTTTTCTTAGACAATTAGGCATAACCACATATAAAATATATACTTTACTCATTTGTAGCTTACTCCATCTGGAAGCATTTCTCTTATCAAATCAATGCATTTAATTAAAAATCCTGTGAAGACCTGTGATAAAGTTTATTCCTTAATTCAGAGTTTGACTTCTCAAATCAGACATCGAATGGAAGATCCCAAATCATCAGGTAAATATGTTTTTCTTAGAGCATAGAACAAATAAAAGTTACTATTCAATTAAGCGTTTTAAAATATGATGCACCAATCTTATTTTAAGAAATAAGCCTTTCTTGAGAGCTATGTGTAGTATGAGTTAATATATATCAAGCAAAAAAGAATGGCTAAGTTATAGTGGTTTTTATCTATGACAGCATGAAAGATAAAATATTATCATTTGATTATCTTATTATGCAGCATTGCCATATAGTTAAGCAGTGAGTAGACAGGGTAATAAGAAGGAGCAAGGAATAGGAAAGTGATCTAGGCTCTGGCCCCAAAGCTTAGTTGGTTAGTAACTTAGACAACTTTGGCATCTTGGGTTTTTTTCTGTCAGAAAATGGATCAGTTGGACTATTTTTAATGTCTAAGGTTCCTCTGCTAAAGATAGTCTACCTGTTCACTTAGTTATGTGAATCTAATAAGAGTAACAGTATTGAAAATTAAAAATATATGAGCTTAAAAGAGCTTTGTTAAAATTGTTACCCTTTTTCTTCTTCTTGTTATTAAAGTCTATAATATATGGAAAAAGTCTTTTATAAGCCTAGTTCCTAACCCTTCAAGTCTAAAAAATACATAGTTGCTAGTAGTCTATGCCTATAGTAACTTCCTAACTTCATACCGTTGTATTTTTGACACTTTAAAAAGTTTCTAATTATTAACATATTAATACATATTCTAAATCAGATTTTTAAGTTGTGTAAACTAAAAATGTTATGTTGTTTTAGATATTCAGCTTTACCATAGTGAAACATTGGAGCTTATGCTACGTAGATGGTCCAAGTTAGAGAAAGACTTTAAAACAAAGAATGGAAGATACGATATTAGTAAAATCCCTGACATATATGACTGTATAAAATATGATGTCCAGCATAATGGTTCCTTGAAATTAGAAAACACAATGGAATTATATAGGCTTTCGAAGGCATTAGCAGATATTGTTATCCCTCAGGTAAGTCATTCTTAAGAATCAATTTTCTTACAATATTAAATAAATACATACTTTTAAAATGTCTGTTGGTGGAAAAAAATGTAGTTGGTTTTCATGTCCTTGGAAAACCAGTAACTTTAAACAGGAAATTAGGTAATTATGAATTTATATTTTAAGCTTTTTATGGTTATATTGATCACATTATTTGATTTTCTAATAGTTTGATTACAGTGACTTTTTTAGTAGACTATATTTATTAGAGCAGTTTTATGTTCATAGCAAAATCAAACTGAAGGTACAAAGATTTCCCATATGCCCCCTGCCTCCATACATAGCGCATCCTCCCCCACATTATGATTATCCTCCACAAGAATGGTGCATTTTTTATAACTGATGAACCTACAATGACACATCACCCAGATTCCATAGTCCATTAGGGTTCACTCTTGGTGTTGTACATATGGGTTTGGGCAAATTTATTGTGACATGTTTCTATCATCATAGTAGTATACAGAGTATTTTCAGTGCCATAAGAATGTAGTAATTTTTTTTTAATTTAAGAATTGATACTCTTAGTAATAATATGCGAACAAGCTAAAGAATGGAAAATAATAATTCCATATGGAATAAATAAATAAATTAAGTATTTATTGAACACCTGTTCTGCATCTGCCATCTATATATGGAAATATATGGGGAGTAAGACATAAAGATAGTTGCGGCTTTATATGAAATTTTTTGCAAATCTTTTTATGCAAAAGTATTTTGAAAATAATGTTTAGAGGTCAAGATATACATAGTTGTTCTTTTGGGGGACGTGGGTCTTTTCATTATAGGAGAATAAAAATAAAGGTGTAATAAGAATTCAAATAACTAAAATGCAATTAAACAGAATTGGATTGATAATAAAGGGGTAAGTGACAAAATATATTGAGATCAGGAATGTGTTAGAAGAATAAAGTTCCAGATGCCATTTTTGGACCTTTTTTCAACTCAGTAGAAGATTATTTGGATATTGTAAATAGGAGGTTGGAGTAGATCAGATATTCCAACTGTGGACTACATAAAGTTTGACAGCAGGAAAATGTTAAATATATGAAAAAGATAAAGATTGTGAAACAAGTTCAAAAAGCCTAACTTATGAATACCCATGTATAACAATGGTTAAAATAACTGTCCCTTTCCTAATATACATAGACAGTACGGGAAAACCTATAGATTTTGAAAAACTGAGAATTCAGGCAGTTGTACAACTTACCTATAGGTATTTGTGTACATGTTAACAATTAGCTTGTTTCTTCAACATGAAAGAGAACTATATATTTGTTTGATCAGATATATAGTGTAGACAATTTTAGGTATATTGTATGAACCTGTGATTTTAAAAATTATTTTTAAAAGAGGATGAAAATATCTCAGACTTTACAAATATGTCTTTAGGTCTTACTTTAGGAAACATTTACTTAGGAAACAGGACTCATTCCCTCACAATTTCTTTCATTTACCAAATGAAAAATGTAAGTTTTATTCTGTAAAAGACAAGTTTTATTTTGCATAATAAAATGTTTCAGTTTTGTAAGTATGCTTTTTAACAATTACCTGTGAATACGAGACTTTAAGATATTTATGGTGGCTATAAGCACTTTTCAAGGTGGGCTTTCAGTATATCTAAATTTATCACCTACTCAGAGGCTAAATAAATACACAATGCATTGTCTAATGTTTAGCATAACCATGTCTGTGCCATTGCATTGCTTATTTAATCTCACCCCTCTACTGTTTCCATTATATATACTAAATATTTTACAACTGGGAATGAAAAATTAGTCTCTAAGAGTTGAGCCCAAAAGAAAACTCAAGTGTTAATGGTATTGTAGATGGTCATTTCTCCTCCTTACATGGTGTATGTATTTCACGTGTATTGTTTATATAGTTGAAGACATTTCTCACCATGTCTGTGTAACTTAAATAGTTAAAATAAATTTTTTTTAAATACCAGAAGAAGCACCAAAGATTAGTATGTTACGAAGGAGTTGAGTCATCATTTGTATCTATCAAAGTAATTCTTCGCTCAGCTGTTCTCAGTCTGTTACGGTAATTCTCTTTGCTGCAATTAGGTTAGATTTTCATGACGGTCTGAGAATTTATTTGAAGACAACTCTAAAATTATTTTTCTTGGAAAAGTTATTTTTGAAATCATTTGACTCTTCAGATAAAATTATGCCCAAGTTTACATAAATCAGTTCTATTTTTGGTAAATTCATACTTTTAAAACAAGAAGGTCTTTTTATATGCTTCCCTGGTGTCCTGACATTGTTTTATAAATTGAGGAGAGGACAACTTTGGGTTTATCTCCGTAACTTTTTCGTATGACAATCTTTATTGTTAACAGAAACTTTGGGTTCTTTTTATTTTCAGATCGTTGAATCAGTTCAATAAATATTACCTTGCTTTGTTACTTTAGACCTCGTAAATACAAAAACTGTGGACAGAAGGCAGGTATTTTCAATCACCAAAAAAAAAACTAGCAATTATAAACATATTTGCAGTAATTTATAATGAAAATGTGGTTTGTAGGAAAAAAATAAAATTTCGCATACATAGTTCTCAAGCAAATAATATTTCAAGCTTCAAGATTTGACTCAGTCAAATAATACAAAGTTTTAACTTGTTTGGAATAATTTAATGCAGACTAACAGGGTATGACTATGAAAGAGAAATGTATATACATATATTCTGGTGTACTTCAAAATGATACTATGCCTTAAAAAATCAGTTTCTACTCTTACATTGATTGTTTAATTTTTACGTCTATGCTATGTGAATTCTGTAATTCCAATCATATCTAGGCTTACGTGATGCGTATGGTCTGTTTTAGTTATTTTAACAGTTAAACTAGTTTTGATAGGTGTTTATGCTACAGTAGAATCAAATTTTCACTTTTTAACCAGGCTTAATCCTCAGAAAATTGGGGCCCTGGTTTAAAAATGATGCTTTATAACTCTGATGGTATGGTGGTAAATAAAAACATTTAGAGATCATATTTGATATTAAAATTCTCTTAATTGAGATGACACATATTAATTGAAGTTTAAAGATGTTTTCTTTGGTTATCTGTAGATTATGAAATGCAGACAGTTCTTTATAGTAGCATTTCCCAAAGATAGTTCAATGACATTCTCAATGAAATCATTATAGAAAGCCTTCAAGTCGCTTTAACTGGTATTTTAATCAGTTCTATTTGTGGCACAGATATTGTAACTACATATAAGAATTTGCATATCTAAAAATTATTTGGTCCTAGTTGATAGAGGCAGATGAGCAAAATATGTCACTGTTTTGAAGAGAGAGATTTCTTGATTATAAAAGTAATATATCTTTGTAATAAAACTAGAAAATACAAATAGAGCAAAAAAATTACTACAACATTACCAACAAAAGAAAAACATATCAATGTTTTGGAATATTTTTAAAGGCCTCTTTCCTTAAATTCATTTACATATAATTTTTTCCATAAATGCATATATATAGAAAATACATTCTTTATGAAAACTGAATCAGAAAAAGCATACTATTTTACAACCTAATTTTTTCCTTCATTTAGCATAAAGAACTTCTTTCCATGCCAATAAAGCTAATATGCATTATTATTCCCGATGGCTGAGTGGTGTGAATGTAAGAATAATTTATTTAATCAACTTGTATTTGGAAATCTAGACTTTTGAAATTTGTTTCACTCTCTTTACACGTCTTTCCATTCACTCAAGACCATTTCTGTAGCTCCAGAAATCTTTAATCAGTTTTTACCCAGACCAGCAGTGTGTGAAAATCCGTTTCCTCACACCTTGCTAATAACAAATTTTAAAAAAAGTACTTCCCTGATGATTTTGTAATTCCAACATTTTTCTTTCATTTACACGTAAATACACAGTTGCATATTCACTATATAGTCACCTACATTGGCAAGATTATTGAACCACCTTAGCTTTAGTTTAAGGTAAATCACCCCCAAGAAGTTCTGTTTTCATAGGTCTTTCATCTGTCATCAGTCAGCATTTTCTTTATTAGGCAGTTTTGAGATCTATTGTCTATACTGATGTTATTCCATGTGAATCTTTCTGGAGGTATCTGGTAGCAGAAAATAGCCTTTAAGTTGAGATATCCTAAAATGAACTTGGAGAGAGAAGGTATGTGTGTTTCTTCCCTCTTCCCTTTTCTCCCTCTCTTCCATTCTACCCCTACTTTTCTGCCTTCTTCCTTTCTCCTCTTCTACTGCTTTGAACTATAATTTTCATTGCAATTACTCTTAAAATTGCCATGTTTTCTGGACACTTCACATTGTGTTAATTCCTTACAAATCCAATTAACCCATAATGATTATGTCATTAAATTTGATAATTTCATGGAATCTTTGCTCACTACCAGTTAAAACTTTAAGAATATTGGCCAAAGGCTTTTGAAGAACGTGTTAGTCTTTTAAATCTTTGACATTTGGAAAGACAGAAATCTCAAGGTTTAATTTTTTTCATATATTTATTACATATTGTGCTTTAGTGTTTGTGTCCTTAATCCACCTTTCTTTTAGGGTTGTTTTTACATTTAAAACCTCTGATTTAGTGAATACTAGTCATAAAAATTACATTCACCCATTCATTCTCCTCCTTCAGAAATTACTGGCTTTTGTTCAGTTCCACCACAAAATCCTTCCAATTATACTTAATAGTTTGAAAATCATACATTTGCAGTTGCAAAAAATGCAAACTTGGAGTTATCCAACGTTCAAAAAAGGCTTGATAAAATATTTGTCTCTCACTAGACTAATTTAGGAGTGTATTTTTTTAGAGTACTTTGTCATTATATCCTTTTTCTAATGTCAAGTATTTTTTGCTCAGGAATATGGTATAACTAAAGCTGAAAAACTGGAGATTGCCAAAGGCTACTGTACTCCTCTGGTTAGAAAAATTCGCTCAGACCTTCAGAGGACACAAGATGATGACACTGTAAATAAACTTCATCCTGTGTAAGAAACTGTACTGGTTATTTAAATCTCTAGGCATCTATTTCTGCATACTTCAAATTTAAATTACACTTTGATGATCCTATGAAGTCAGAAGTGTGTCATTGGCATACTGTGAAAATACTATTACCTAGATATTTCTATTAACTTCCAACCAAAGTTATTTTTGGCTCCAATTTAGAGAAAACTAAGGTGAGTGGGGAAAAGGGAATATAGATCATCGTTCACATGGGATCATCAATGTGTACCCCATTTAGCAGCATTAATGTCTGTGATCATCTTTAGGTCTATAACCTCTGTCATTGCTACTAAAAGAGATAAAATAACCTATTTACAGTGTACTTGACTAATATTAAGTCTATTCTTTGACTACTCTCAGAGGTCCTAGTTAGTTATAGTTTGTGTCATGTTAGAAGAATATGTACTAACATAAATCCTCTATTGCGGTTGGAAGAATAATAGATTTTTATGGTCTTTTACTTCTAGTGAATTAAATTTAATTTTGGAAAATAATTTCAATATTTAGCGAGTTTTTGATTATGTGGTTATGTTTGAACACTGTCTGCTTTTAATTTTAGGTATTCTAGAGGTGTTCTTTCTCCTGAACGTCATGTTCGTACTAGATTATATTTTACTAGTGAAAGTCATGTACATTCTTTGCTGTCTATTCTTCGCTATGGTGCCTTATGCAATGTAAGTAGAATAAGTTACATCAGTCTAACAAATATATTTAATTTTGTAATTAAATCACTGACTGCTATTTTTACTGTGAAATTTTAGTATTTCATCCTTAAGTGTTACTACTTAATGTCGTCTTTCAGGGGACTACTATATACCAAGCATTTTGCTAGATGTTAGGGATAAAGATGTTCTCTTCAGAGAAGATACATTCAAGCAAACAATAATATAAATTATTTTAGGTGATTTTATAGACTGATGGCAGTAAAGAGAAGCCTGATGAATTTGAGTCATTTAGGGGTCAGAATTGATGGGACTTGGTGTTTGGTTAGACGTTGTGCCACTTACCTACTATTACGTACTATCTACTGTTATCTACTATTATGTAATGACATATCAAGACTTAGTGGCTTAAAACAACCACAGTCATTTCATTTTTATCTCATACAGTTTAGAGTGTTGACTAGGATCAGTTATGAAGTTTCACTTAGAGTCTCATGAGGTTGTGGTCAGACAGTGGCTGGGTCTCAATCTCAAGGGTTTTCTCTCATGTTTGGTGCTTCATGTTGGCTGTCTGCTGGGACCTCAGCTGCGGTTACCAACCAGAACACCTACATCTGGCCTCTTCATGTGGCCTGCTTCCTCAAATGTTGCACCTGAGTTCCAGGAGTGAGCTTCCTATGAGAGCAAGGTGCAAGTGCATGGCATTTTTATGACCTAACTTCTAAAACCATAGCATCACTTCTGCTGACTCTCTTGGTTGAGGCAATCACAGAGGTTCATCCAGGTTCAGAAGGAGAGGAAACAACCCACAGCACTAGATGGGCTGAGTGTCTCTGTCATATTGTACGAAGAGTATGTAGAATTGAATGCGTATGTCAGCCATCTTTGGAAAACACAAAATCTGCTACGGTGATACCCATTTGCCACAGTAATTCATATTCTTCCTGCATACAAAACTCACTTAACTTCTCCCTCAGTGCCACCCACTCCATTCAGTGCCATGCTGTAATAGGATAATACTACTTGAAGTCCAGAATCTCATCTAACTCAGTCATCTCTAAACTAGCCAAAAGATAAGAATATTTCTTTATTTTTCTGTGCATATGAATATATGCACGTCTGTATAGAAAGTGATCTGTAAAAGAAAATTCAATTTTGTTTTCTTATGTACTTTTAAAAGAAGGGCAGTGAAATATGTAATGATAATTTGGTATATATCTGTTTCCTAATCAATCTTATTACTGGTCCTTGAGAGTAATTATTATCATAGTTATCCTAAGGCTGTTTCAAAGTTCTATTCCAATTAAAATTCCAAACCCATATGTTATTTCTTCTGGTTTTTTGTTTCTTCTTTGTCCCACTAAAGAATAGCACAGTGACATCCTTGCATAAGTATGTGGATTAGTGGGGAAAAAAAGTGACCCTTAATTAGCAAGGCAAAAGCTTGTATAAACAGTAGTGTTGATGGAATTGTTTGTGAGGAGGAGAGATACATCTCTTACATGGTCCTTTTTGACATATATAGAGGGTATAAAGAACATGAATAATATAGGAACTGATAGAAAGCCTGTGGTTGGAGAATAGCAGTAAGTATTGGATAAAATGACAGCAGATGTGGTTGAAGAGCCAGTGCCTTGTATTCTAAGTGGATTGGGAAGCCATTGAAAGGTTTTAAGCAGGGAAGCGGGTGACTTTGGTTGGTTGTTGTGTGGACAGTAGATAGGTGAAAGTGGGTATGAGGAAACCAGTTAGGAAATTAGTACAGTGGTCCAAAAAGATGTCATTTAGACTAGGGTGGTGGCTGTGGATCTAGAGTTTGTTGGGCATATATTGAATTCAGGCTGCATTTCTAAAACAAAAACTGAACAACTTCATTATTTTAAAAATCAGTGCTTCCGGGGGAAAAATAATTACATGTATTTACTAAGGTGAAAATTGAAGTCTATACCAAAATGTTTTGTTTTCATTATCCCAACTCTTATTATCCTTATAAGAATCTGTAAGTAATATAATTAAAATCTTACTCCGTGTATTACCAGTTGTAATTTTTAATTATTCAGAATGGACTGGGTAAAATCTTTCTGTAGAATTATTTGTAAAGTTCGTTAAGGAACTAAGATTATAAACAAGATTTCAGGAATATGTGTAATGGGGCCTTAATTTAAAAAAACATTTTTATGTCTTCTTACATATTAATTATGTTCTGGAAGTTACTACTAAATATTGCTTAATTTTATCTATTTATTAGAGAAGACCTAGCAAAATCTATAACTGCAACACTGAGTTAGACATTAGATGGTGTTCTTAATGCTGGAGTATCACAAAATCACAAGATCAATTATTTCTTCACCTAGTGAAAATTTTCAGTATTTAAACTCATCATTTGTGCTAACTTTACATTTAGTGAAGCTCAGTAATGCTAATTTATGTTTCCCTTATCAATTTTGAAAAAAATACATCTTTTCACATATTACCTCCTAAACTTGCACACATGCATGTGCACACGCACATACACATGGAATGTGTAACGTCTAAAATAGAAATAAAATACATGCTGAATTTTAAAAAACATACAGTCAATGTGTGGTCTTATAATTTGCTTTTAAAACAAGATGCATTCTGTACTAAAGTTCTTAATATTGTATACTCTTAGTGTATACAAAAAGGAAGTGTGCTTTTATATATTTGTAATGTAATTACATAGTATACAGCAAAGGAAATTTATCTGTGATGTACATATAATTTAAGTAGATCCTGTTAATTGTTGACTATAGACTTTGAGTAGTTTTGCCTTTTCAGATATAATTTTCTACTTTGAATGCTTGTAGTACATGTTCTCTAAGATCCTTTTCAGTTCTGATGCTCTATGATTACATGTTTAAAGACCAATGATTCTCAGAATGAAGATGGAGGAATGGTGAAGGAGATGGTAAGATCAATAGAATTTGCATATGCCTCCTTCTGCTGATTTTTGAATATCACTTCAGTGTAATAGGGATATTTATTGATAGGCTTATATCGCATACATGAACTATATATGATGGTGGGAAAAAATAGCATTCCTGTTATAGGATAGTATTCTGTGGTTATGAAACATGATACTATACTAGGTACTTTGGAACTGAACAAAGTTAAAAACTGTCTCTTACCCTCAGAATTCAGTAGTGTTTGTCATATTTCAAGAAATTCTTTATTTTTCATTTTGTATAAGCAGTTAAAAAAAGGTTACTACTAGAACTTCTAATATAAGTTGAATATCTCTTATCTGAAATGCTTGAGACCAGAAGTTTTTTGGAATTTAGAATTGTTTTTGGATTTTGGAATATTTGCACTGGTTTAGCATGCCTAATTTGAAAACCCAAAATTCTCCAATGAGTATTTCCTTCAAGTGTCATGTCAGTGCTCAAAAAGTTTTGAATTTTGGAGCGTTTTGGATTTTGAATTTTCAAGTTAGGGATACTCAAACTTGTAGAGAGTTTAGACATATTTTACCAAAACAAGCTTAAATAAGTTAGTAAGATTTTTAAATGTAGTGGAATTATTTTTAAAAATTGTGCATATAGTAAGTATTCACTTTATGTGGTATCACTAGGATTAAACAAGCTACCATAGTGACAATAAAGTGACTTTCAAGTAACAGTTTGAGAAAATGCTTACCACATGTATCTTTTGTTCAGGAATCAAAGGATGAACAGTGGAAAAGAGCTATGGATTATTTAAATGTTGTCAATGAGCTCAACTACATGACTCAGATTGTTATCATGCTTTATGAGGATCCTAATAAGGTAAACAGAGCTCTTGATTTGTGTTTTACCAGACATAAATAAAGAGCTTAAAGTTTCTCATTTTGAAAATGTTCTTTCATATTTCTTAGGATCTTTCCTCAGAGGAACGCTTTCATGTTGAATTACACTTTAGTCCAGGAGCCAAAGGTTGTGAAGAAGACAAAAATTTACCATCTGGCTACGGATATAGACCAGCTTCCAGAGAGGTAACGAAGGTGGAACTCTCAGTGCTTAGTTACTGTGGTTCTAGATTTTCATGAGGTTTCTATAAGAGATTTTTATAATGTACTATAAATAATTCTTATTTCAACTACTAAGTAGGAAAATGGCTTAAATTTTTTAAAGTGTGATTTGTATAGACAACACTTTTATGCATATTGGAATACTTAGGAATTTTATATTTTGTTTAGATTGTTTGAATTTTAAGGCCGTGTTTAGAATGGATAACCTTAAACCTTTAATTCACTGAAATTGACTTTTTTGGATATGGTACATGTGATGTGCAGTCCAGTTTTGTTGTCTTTGCTCTATGAATAACTAAGCCCCAGTATCATAGATTCAAGAGTTCATCTTTTTTCTGCTGCCTATAGTACTACACATGATACTGCAGACATGTATTGTACGTGTATTTTGATTGGTTGGTTTCTGAACTTTTAGTCTTACTTGATTACTCTGTTTGTTTCTCTCTCTACCAGTACCACAGTCTTAATTATTATAGCTTTATAATAAATATTGATATTGAGTACAGAATTCCTCCAGCCTTGTTGTTCTTAAAGATTATATTGAATATTTCATGTTTCATACATTTTCATATAAATTTTATAATCATTTTATAATATCCTGAAAAGACTCTTTGAGATTTTGGTTGAGATTACCATTACTCTGCAGATCAATTTGGAAAAAAAATGATACTTTTTCAGTATTGGGTCTTCTAGTCTAAGGACTTGGTATATTTCTGAATTTATTTAACTATATATTTTTTGATAAAATCTTGATTTTTTTCATTAAACATAATAGCAAAAACCACAATTACTTTTGCACCAAATAATTGTCTTATACCATCTTTGTCAGATTAATTCCTAGTTCCTTTATAGTTTTTTATGCTATCATAAATTTATGATAAATTTAAATTTCTTTTATGATTTATTTAAATTTCATTTTTTGTTGTCATATTAAATTTTAACTCAGTTTTGTATAAAAATTTTATAAGTAGCAAATGTATAACTTAATATATACTGTTATTCATTCTAATAATTTACCCTTAGAGTCATTTGGATTTTTTATGTATATGATCATAACATCATCTATGAATGATGAATAGATTTAGTGATAGTGGACATTCTTATCTTTGAGTGTTTTATTATTAACTGTAATGATCCCTTCAAGTTTTAGATATCCCTTATTTGATTTAAAAAGTACCTTTTTATTCTCTGTAACCCTTAATTTGATGAGGATTTTTATGTACTCAGCTTATTTTCTTTTGGCCAATATTATGTTTAGGAGATTCAGCAATGTAGTTGCATTTAGTTTTAGTTTGTCCATTCTTACTGCTTTGAAATATGTGTTTTACTGTATTACTGTGGCCTAATATATGCATTGTCTTTTTTTTTTTTTTCTGACACAGAGTCTGGCTGTCTCCCAGGCTGGAGTGCAGTGGCACGATTTCCGGTCACTGCAAGCTCCGCCTCCTGGGTTCACGCCATTCTCCTGCCTCAGCCTCCCGAGTTGCTGGGACTACAGGCACTCGTCAGCACGCCCGGCTAATTTTTTGTATTTTTAGTGGAAATGGGGTTTCACTGTGTTAGCCAGGATGGTCTCGATCTCCTGACCTCGTGATCTGCCCACCTCAGCCTCCCAAAGTGCTGGGATTAGAGGCGTGAGCCACTGCTCCTGGCCTGCATTGTCTTACAGTTGGATATTTTAGTACAATTCATGGCACACGGTATACACTTAGTAAATGCTCATGAGTCATTGAATGATAGTTACTTTTAATGCAGTTATCACATTTATTAGAAATATTTGGAATATATTTAAATAGTCTAAAATTTATAAATACAAATGCTGTTTAGTTCGTGCTTAGGATGATGAGACTCCTATATAACAAAGCTCATCTCTATTATTTCTTTCTGTCATTTATTATTATTGTTTGTTTATTCTTGCACTTGATGAAATGTAATTAAACACTTTGTCTTATGTGGTTTTTTTAATTGCCATTTTACTGTTTAATTTCTCCATAGAGTGTATATATTTTTGAACTCAGAGACTCTGCCTTTTCCCTCATAGTACACAGCATAATACTCAGCTGTTAGAAGAGTTCAGTTAATGTTCATTCATCTGAGTAAACAAACTTGTATATGTATTTCAAGTACCTCTACCAGTGGTAGTTGAATCTGTTCATCAGAAGATATTTCTTAAATCTGGATAGAAGTGTTTTATATTCTTTGCTCACAGAATGAAGGCAGGAGACCTTTTAAAACTGATAATGATGATGAACCACATACTTCTAAAAGAGATGAGGTTGATCGAGCTGTGATATTGTTTAAACCAATGGTATCAGAGCCAATTCATATACACAGGAAGTCTCCACTTCCAAGATCTAGGAAGATGGCTACAAATGATGTAAGTATATGTATCAGAACACATTTTTCATAAAATAAACTAACTATATTTTAATAAAGCAGAAAAGAAAATACAGCTTTAATTGTGGAGCTTGAGAAACCAGCAAATTTTTAAATGTTATTTAATCTATTTTTAAAATAAATTACAAAAAACATAGAGGCAGTTCAACAATAGATTAGTTTTAGAATGTTGAGCTTTACATATAGTTTTCATAAAAAAGAATGCAAATATAAAATAAGCTGTTTCTAGGAACTTGAAAAATGAATGCTTTTTTTTGTCTGGTTATATTAGGAATATTTACATTAGGTTAATCTTCAATAAAGACATTTTTTTAAAAGCCTGATTTAATGGATCAAGAATAATTTTAGTTAAAAGTAGAAAGCAGGCCGGGCACAGTGGCTCACGCCTGTAATCCCAGCACTTTGAGGCCGAGGCAGGTGGATCACGAGGTCAGGAGATTGAGACCATCCTGGCTAACATGGTGAAACGCCGTCTCCACTAAATATACAAAAACTTAGCCTGGTGTGGTGGCGGCACCTGTAGTACCAGCTGCTCGGGAGGCTGAGGCAGGAGAATGATGTGAACCCAGGAGGCGGAGCTTGCAGTGAGCCGAGATCATGCCACTGCACTCCAGCCTGAGCAACAGAGCAAGACTCCAAGACTCCATCTCAAAAAAAAAAAAAAAAAAGTAGACAGCATTTGTTGGAGATGCTTTAGCAATAACTGATTCAAGTGATACTATAGGTAAAGAAATGAAATTCCAAATTGTTTGCCTAATTGCAAAGTCTATGTAGGAATTTGAATATTTGATAATATAATTGAAAATTTTACCTTTATATTAAGATCTATAAATAGGCTAAAATAATTATTAGGCTCTCTAATAGGAAAACATTTAAATAATTAATAAAGTAACATTTAAGAGGAAAGTTGAACGGTTAGAATGAAGCTTGTTAAATAAAGCTTTAGCACCTGTATACATTTTTAATACTTTAAATAAGTTGTATTTGAGGTTATCTCTATTTTCTGCAGGATGATTCTCCCAACACTGATTGAGGTCAGTGCTTATAACTGTTTTCTAAATGCTCTAGTAAAAGTGTAAAGGAAGAGGGGCCTGGCATAGTGGCTCGTACCTGTAAACTCAGCGCTACAGGAGGCCGAGGTGGCTGGATCACCTGAGGTCAGGAGTTCGAGAGCAGCCTGACCAACATGGTGAAACCCTGTCTCTACTAAAAATATAAAAATTAGCTGGGCGTGGTGGTGTGGGCATGTAATCCCAACTACTCGGGAGGCTGAGACAGAAGAACCATTTGAACCTGTGAGGTGGAGGTTGCAGTGAGCCGAGATTGTCCCTGACTGCACTGCAGCCAGAGCGAGACTCTGTCTCAAAAAATAAATAAACAAACAAACATACATATATACATATATATACATACATATATATATGTATGTGTAAAGGAAGAAATTAAGATATAACCATCAACTTTTAGAAAAAAAAAATCATTTAAATATGCCAAGTCTGAAGAATTAGGTATAACATTTTTTAGCATTTGATAGGTGAGAATAAAAACAACAAAAAGAATTGTGCTCATTTCTACAGCCCCAAATTATGCAAATATATGTGTTTTATGATTCTCAAAGTTCAAAAGTATATGTGCTCCAGTTTGACAATTTTGTATAGGCAAAAATCTGTCCATAAAGTAGATCCTTATAACTTTATAATGGAAATTATATAGTCATTAAGGTTCCCTTGAATGTGATATTTTAATTACAAAAGAAGACGGTTATAAAAGAGGGTGTTTAACAATTATAGAACTTGGAATTATTTGTACTATTATAACTTAATGGAAAAAATGAAAAATCTGGGATTATGTTCAAGTATCCTTAGTTTCAGAAAATTTGGGACATAAGCTATGTTAATTAATATAACCTATACTACTATTTGTGTGAGTGCAGTGATTTTGATGTGTTATTGAATAAGCAATCTATAGTTAATCAAATTATTCAGAATTTCACCATTAAAGCCTCTCCTCTGCCCTCCAAAAAGCCTATATAACACTGAATACAGCAAAATGTATTGTAAATCTTCATTTTGCAACTTATCTATATTTATAAAACCTCTAACAAAAGCACTGTCCTCGTTAATCTTTAAAATGCAAAACACATTTATAAACCTTTTTCTCATAAATACTTAGTTGATTTCAAGAGATTATTTCTATGCCATGCTAAACTTTTACTTCCATAAGGTAAATTACTCAAGTAAAATCTTGAAGACTTTTTCCAGCGTCCATCATCTCCATGGATATCAGAAGTTTGTACTTCCAAAAGACACACAGAGAAAAAGACTGTTCTCTTCATTTTGTGCAAGTAGATTTTACTCTGTCCTCACTCTCTGAAACCTGAACATGCAAACATGTATAATGAGAATGTTTGCTGCATGTTTTGCCTACTAAATCTGTAAATAATCTCTGGAGGGGGCAAATAGATAGCTTGAAAGTATAAACAGGTGCAATTTGAGTCCATCTTATGATCTCTGAACTTTTTAAATATGTCAGGCAGACAGATTTGGTTTTCTAAGTTATGTATCTTGAAATCCCTTTGACCCTTTGCACAATTCTTTAGTGCCTTGGGTTGAAAAATTCACCCAAAATAGGACAAAATCTTTGAATATCTAAAATTAAGCAGAAAACCTTTATATTTTAAAAGTTGCTAAAAAAGAAACTTACTAAAATATTTCCAGTTTTAACAGGGAAGGGACAATTATGAAGCAGTATAAATATTTTATGTCTTTTAATGTAATAAAATATTTCCATAATTGTTATCACATGCAATTAGATTTATTAATCATTCCTATCAAATTCTCAAATAGTGAAATATTTGGCTCCCAAATTGCTGTTTAATAGTCTTTTTAAAAAATTAATAAGCAAATACAAACAAACTGTATTTTTTTTTCTTTCTGATCATTTGGCTCTGTTGTATCTAACTTTGCATGCTCTGCTTTTTTTTTTTTTTTTTTTTTTTTGCCCCCTTTCTCACTTCCAGGAAGAGAGCCCCCTGAGTGTGTCTAGCCCAGAGGGTACTGGTACCTGGCTGCATTATACCAGTGGTGTGGGTACTGGGCGTCGAAGACGCAGATCAGGGGAACAAATCACTTCTTCCCCTGTCTCCCCCAAATCATTGGCTTTCACATCCAGTATTTTTGGCTCATGGCAACAGGTTTTTAAACTTTACTTCATTAAACATTTTTCCTCCCTGCATTCAGAGCAACAAACAGCTGTCTTTGAGGACATCTAATCCCTTGTATTTCACATCAGAGTAAATCCTTCAGTTTTTTAATTTTGAGTTCATTTAAAAATACTTATGATATCTGCCAATATTCGAGGGAAAGAAATCACTTCCATGGCATGTGTTTAGTATTTTTACTGAGAAGGTTCCAAATATCCAGGATTTTAAAAACAATCAATAAATGTTATTCTCCTGGAATTTTACCTTATTAACAAAATTATTTAAAAATGAAAGAAATCTTTCTTTTTGACTTGTCTTTTAAAACTTTCAGAAACAAATTATGTAATTTGATTGTAAGAAAATGTATTAAGATTTTCTTCCATATTTGAAAAAATTAGATTCAATTTGGAATTTGCTGAGAATGTAAACATTTTTGAAAATACCAGAATTTTTGTGGCCCAGTTTTAATTAGCAGAATATATCAAATATTGATAATTTTCTTCCTCATTATTCTATTATTTGGAAGTATCTAAGGAATACATACAGTCTGTTTTTCTTTGGACTGTATAATATTTTAATGTTCTCTTTAAGAGGGAACAATTGCATATGTGCCCATCAACAATACGTGTCAAAATAAAATGACTTCAGAAGGACTTTCCGTGATGACATTTGGAAACTTAAAATATACATGATTTCTATTATGTTGGAAGGTCTACTGTCACACATGAGGTTTCTGATAATTTCAGCAATTTCCTTTTGGAAATATAATGCATTTGATTATAGGAAAAGGGATTATGGTATCCATTAAGGCTGTGAATATTTAAAGGTTACTCTGATAAAGCCCATGCATGGATCAATAATTGTATGGTGATCTCAAGAGTCTCTGTCTGCCCTTTCTTTTGTTTGTAGTTGTTTTTTCCCCCTTCAAGTACAGGAGCTGTTTAAGAGTGGGCATTTGGCTTCTTTTAACAGTGAAATTATATCAATCTCTTAATTGCTTCTTTTCATCTGTCTTGTTTCATACATGATGTTTCATTCTGAATGCCTGCTTCGCACCACTTCATTGCAAGGACCTCATGAAATGGACTCCCTTCAAAAGGGGATCTTGCATGATCTTTCATGTTTTATGTATTTCTACTAATATTTATCATACAGCTTATTAACCTTTGTCTGTCTGGAACAGGCTGCATATGAAGTGTGGACTTCTTAATTTATTTTACTGTTTTACTCCATTTACTTTGGATTCCTTATGCAGGTTGTATCTGAAAATGCTAATTACCTGCGAACACCGAGAACTCTTGTGGAACAGAAGCAGAATCCTACTGTAGGTATGTGGTGTAAAGGAAATTGTGTTCCATACCCTTCTTAAACTCACTATTGTGCACACATGTAAAACTCTTTGGTGAAAGCATGACCAAATGCTATGCTGTAGTTTTTATTTGATGTGTACTAATTCAGAAATGTTGAGTTGTATAACTCAAAATATAGTTTTGATAAAATGAAGAAGAGATAGCATTCAGTTTTGTTGCATAACCCTTTGGAATGCCTGCAGTGATAACCACTTAGTTAACTTGCCAATGCTAGTTTTTAATCTTGTACTCTGTAAGTTAATTTATGAAGGAAATGTCATTTTCCCAGTTGATAAAGATGAAAAGATGCTATTGCATGCAGAAAGGAACTTTCCATTTTTCTGACAAAATATTTTTAAAGTATGGAATACTTCAAACCATATATGAATATATTAATTTTCCTTTGAGCAGCTCATAAGGAAAACCAAGCAAAACTAATGCACAGTGGCACTCTCAGTCTTTATTAACCTATAGAACATAATTGGTTCTTTGCTAACACTCAAAGCAACATTGGAAAAGACCTTTCTAAAGTCATTTGGTTTAAAGCTCATGGTTGATAAACTATGAGATAGTGGCATATTATTTTCTGTAAATAGTTGTCCTGATAGGTTTAATAAAGGCATAAACAGATCTCATTGTAAGTTTATGTATGTACTGTGATCTCTGTACTAAGTGTATGAACTGTGTTGATGCCTACATACTTGAGGATCTCTCTTTAGTTAATTTCATATAGCTTGTAATGGTAGTTTTTAATATTCCCACAGTATATTTATAGAAATTTATATATTACTCCTTCTTATTGATGTATCATAGTATATTTGATGGAAATTTATTTAATCCTTCCCCAGTGATAAAAGTGTTATTTGGATGTAAAAACTTTTGCTACAAATTGAGCATCAGTTTATACTGACTGTTTTATTTGCTAGTAATGTTTTTCATTGGGGGTCTTATTAATTAAGATATTAAGTCATTTGTTAAGTAAAGTGATTTAGGCCTTGAATGACTGAAAAGAACCTGGTCTTCTCACAAATAAATAAATTTTGATATACTTTATTTCATAAGAAAGAGTAGTAATTCTTAATTCAAGGGCATCAGGAAAGATTTGTCGTTTATAAATATACATTAAAAATACTGATTTTATATGACTTAATTTGTGCTAGGAGAGGTTTTTGGGTTTTTTTTGTTTTTTTTTTTTTTTAAATGTGGCTTGCCCTTGGGAATTGATTAACAGAGTTCTTTCTTGTCCTAAGTTATTTTTATGGCAGTGTTTTTAATACTTTAGGATGTATATGTCTAATTATTGTATGGACATTTTTTTTTTCTCAAAGATAACATTTTGTCCAATGTTAAATTACCCCATTTGTACCTATGATAAATGATAGTGGTGTTTAGAAGTATTGTATTAAAACTGACATCATTAGGAAATTACAAGAATATTGTGAGCCTGTTCAAGGCACTTCCAAAAGTTGCCTTATATGTGGTAAGAGCCATGTTAATTGCATGCTGCATGAATTCCCAATGTGAATGGAAGAACACCCGTTGTGTATGTATTTTCTCTAACTCCCATCAGGGTCTCACTGTGCGGGCCTGTTTAGCACCTCGGTGCTCGGGGGTTCTTCAAGCGCACCTAACCTACAGGATTATGCTCGTACTCATCGTAAAAAGCTGACCTCTTCTGGCTGCATAGATGGTATGTGCACACATGCACACACAGATTCATATCTACACCCAAGCACACACCCATGAGCAGTATTTCTCAAAGGCAAATCTAAGGCCACTGACTGATTCGAGTGAAATCCTGTCATCTTTTGCCTAAATGACTATCAGTGCTCTCTGTTACCTACAACTTGGATCCATGTTTCATCAGACACTTAATTGTAGTTAGGTTTAGAGTACTTGTACAATAAGTTTGTTGAAGTGGAAAATAGTATTGTGTGTATTCTTCTTTTAGATAATTTATAATCTATATTATAAAGAACAAGTGTTTCTTTGATCTTTTAAACTTTTATTTATTGTTAACACTTATTTTACTTATTGAGCTAATTAAAGTGAGTGGAATGTTTATAAGTAGAGGACAATATTGGCAATATTTTTATAAAAATAAACACAGGATGAGAATATTTTAGGATCCCTAGCTGAAGGAGATCCTCTTAATGTTGTTAATATACCTTAAGTTTTAATATTCAGAATTTTTTGAAGCTCATGGAAGCGTGTCCCTTTTGTTAAGAGTAGTGGTTCTAGCTCTTTCAGGATCATCTTTATTTAAAACAGTTTCTCATTTATCAACACATTTATTTTAGACAGTAAAACATGGATTTACCAGAATTGCCAGCTCATCTTGCTTTTCTTTCTTTTGTATATTTCATTTGACACTTTTCCTCTGTCATCAAGCTAGTTAACTTCTTTTAACCAATATTTGCCTTATTACCTTCTGTCATTGTCCCTTCTGCATGCCACCTTTCTAACCTCATATATTTGTTTTTCCCTTCTTTCTTTTAAGTGTTCTTCTTTTTGTAGCTGTTACGAATTTCAGGTACCTGTTTTTCTCTTTCTTAGACGCCACACGCGGTTCTGCTGTTAAAAGGTTTTCTATCTCATTTGCTCGACACCCAACCAATGGTACGTTTTGCTTTTATTTTAAAAGATACTCCCCTGCTTCATCCCTTTTTTATTTTTATTTTATTTCAAAATGTGGGGTATACAGTATCATTCATTTCTTCATCCTTATTATCAATTGGCATACAATTCCAACTTGTTATTCACCCAAATTATTGATACTGTCTAGCTCCCTTTTCAGCTGTAATTTATATAGTAATTTAACATTACTCATCAAACTTTTAAATGACCACAGTGATGATGAGTTTTAATGCTAAATTAACACCTGAAAATTTCTTCTAATTTCTCAGATGATCAGTCTACACAAATTTTTAAATTTCAATTAGTATTCTTTAATTTTTCTTAATTCTCAATAACCTTTTTCTTCCTAATTTTCTGATCATATGGTTGTTTTATTGAGATAGTTAAACAAATATACAGAGTCACCCATGTCAAATAGCCAAATAAGATGTGTCTTTGAAAAATTCTTGGGCACCTGGTGATGCATATTTCTCTGTATAACATCGTCTGTTCCTGGCTATTTTCCTAAAGCAAAACCCTATTTGGTCTGGAGCACTCTGAAAACTTTGTCCAGCATTCACTTTGTTCTTGTGTAGCAATGTGGTTTGCTATTATCAAGCAACCAATTCCTTTTAGTACCGCTGCTTTTCTTAAAATTTAGAGGGCTCCTAATAAGAGGAAGATTAAGTTAAGATCTAGAAACCCAATTCTGTTAAATTCCATTTTTCAGGCTGAATAGGAAAGTTTTTCATGACCATTATTTGTAAAAGGAATTATTGCAGCATTATAACATCTAACATAGACCTTGATATTGTGGAGCAAGAGGGAATATTTACTGATCATTTTACAATAATTCAGGATCAAAGAATTTAAAAGAAAACTTACAGATTTTTGCTTGTATTACACATGGAATGAAGATACTTTTATCCCTGGAACTCTTTTTCTTTTTAACTGCAAGTAAGTCTTTCAAAAACTCAAGTCAGATCTTTCAGAAACTTTTATGAAGCTAAAGGATTCAACACAAGTTTATGGTCATTCTCCCTGTTCTGGATCCTTTAACAACACGTCTAAATAACATTGCACTAATAATTCTTGAAGGTGGAATAAGAAGATCTCATCCTCAACAAGTAAAAATTTAGCCTTAAAGCTTAATGTACTTTCCCTTCATTGTAGCTGTTTAAATGCTACTTTTTGAAGAAAGTGATTCTTATTTGATACAGCTGCAGCTTCTAAAGAACCCGCATGCCTAAGAACCTCTTAGAAGAAACACAGAAGTCACAAGAAAAACAGAAGCCACAAAAATTCTAAGAAGAGACATTGCAGGTTTAAGACCATAGTTTTTGTACTGAATGCTATGTGTTTAAAACCAGTATTCGAGGTATTATTATCTAGGAGAATCTGTGTTTAACTGAAGGTTTTTAAAATTAAAAATATTTCTGTTAATTTTAATAGAAAATAGAGTAATTTTATATTCCTTTGGTTTAGGCTCTTTTTAAAAAAATGTGGATTTTCCGCACATATAAATGCATATGAGATGCATTCCTTTCAATTCTACAAATATTTATTTTGAGTTTTAAGGTTTCCTTTTTTCCTTTTTTAATACTGTGTTGTCTTATCTGTCTTACGAATTGTCATTTGACTCTTCCTTTTACTTTTTATTTCCCCTAACTTTCATGTTATTTCCATCTTTAACACATATCATGGACTTACCCCTCCCTTCATCTTTAGTTCAAGGAACATGGTGAAACAAGTACCTTCTGACAGTGCTTTACCTTATTTTCTGGGCCTCTGTGCAGAACACCTACACCTCTATAGGTGCTGGTCCGTTTCCTCTGTGGAATTTCTAGGCTCCAGTGGTATGTTTTTATAGCTTCTAAACATGTCAGCAGGGTGGCTTTTTAAATTGCTGCGCTAACCCTTTCATTGTGCATCAAAGGAAAAGTTTACTAAAGATAAGTGGAAAAAAATGTAGTCTAGAGGAACTTAATTATATTGTCATTTGCCTGTTATAAAATCTAGCAGGCAAATGAAATAAAATAATTGCTATAAAAGATATGTAAACCTTGTGAGGAAAGAAGAAAAGATCTCATCGTTAAGTTTAGTGTAATGCAAAGAAAGGGTTTGCGCTCATTTGCATGAATCTTGTACTTCTAAAAAATGTAACAGTTGTGCAAGCCTAATTTCTTTAGTGCTTAATTTAGGTGCTTTAGCTGCTGTTATGGTATAGTTTTGTTTTTGTTTTTGTTTTCAAAGTATGTGTAATGTTCTGTCATGCTTTGGTTTGTACCTGAAAATCAGACATACCAGTTTTGCAAGTCCTTTGGTTATCTTCCTAGGAAGATTAGATTCTCTTTTAACCAAAGTTTCCTTATTCTAACTGAGAATTAGGCAGTTCTTGAGTCAATATTTCCTTCAATATTTAAATAAATCAAACATCAGTCAATTTAAAAATGAGCACACACCTATTGAAGCAAAGAGTCTTGCAGTCTGAGGTTAATTTTTACTTTTAATGATATTTGACTTGATAGAAAATTTTATTTGAGTATTGTAGGTATTTAACTGGGGGAAATTTGTTTGGATTTTTAGAAGAGTAGATGCAGAAAGACTCGTTATTTTTAACAGTATATGAAAGCAATTTTAAAAGCCATTCAGTTGAATAAAGTTTAAATAAACAGGCAATTTTCTTTTTTTAAAAAGTGAATAACCTATATCCTATTTGTTTGAAAACATAAACTGTGTATTTAAGTGCTTTTGTTTCAGTGATGGTATTAATACATATTTGCATGGTTGTTTCATGAAATTTTTGTATTTCTGTGCCATTGTTAAAAATAGGATCATATTTGTATTTTGTATTGCTTTTAACTTGACCTAACTTTACACAGCCAGTGATTCCTAGTAATATAATTATGTGTTAATACAGTAAAGGTAGGTGAAATACGTTTTGGAATTTTTATTCCAGCATGAATGAATGAATGTTGTTTTGGGCTCATACTAGAGAGTGTCATTGGTCTTGGCACGCCTGGAAAAGTATCTAAAAAAATTATTCACAAGTAATTATATAATTTTTCAACAAGAACTTACTGTTAGCATCCTGGCATCAGGGATACATCATGTGGCATCAGCTTATTCACCCACTGAATAGACCTGACTTCAAAAAATAAAAACTGAAAACTTGTATTTCTTTGGTTTTTTTCCCCTAGGTTTTTAAAGTATTATTCTTAGATTTTACCAATATAGAATGAAATTGTGTGCATGCTATACTACATGATTACATTTAAAAAGAAATCTTTGTCACATCTTGTTCCAGCTCCATATTGCATAGCATCTGGTGTCATGACTTCAGAGATATTGTGTGTTTGCATGTGATAGATTGAAAAGACCTAAACTGTCCAGTTCTAAGCAGTAGTCTTCCTTTTTAATTACTGATTTTTAAAATATCCATCTTTTATTTTTTGTTTTTGGTTTTTTTCTCTTCTAGGCTTTGAATTGTATTCCATGGTGCCATCTATTTGTCCTCTAGAAACTCTTCATAATGCCCTATCTTTAAAGCAAGTGGATGAATTTCTTGCTTCCATTGCTTCTCCATCATCTGATGTTCCACGGAAGACCCCTGAAATTTGTAGGAAATTTTTCTTTCATTGTTATTATTTAGTTGCTGGGCAACTACATACTATCCGAATATAACAGAAATTTTGAAAACATAAAAGCAGGTAGTGGTAATGAGTAGAAGTTTAGGGGACAAAGGAGTATAAAGGGACATTATTAGGAATTCTTTGGTGTAATGTGAACTGTAGCTCTTTTTTTTACTCTCTGCCAAATTCTTTTTTTCTTACCAAAAAAAAAAAAAAAAGCAGTAGAAGTCAACAAAATATAGGGTTGTGGTCTTTTGTTAAAACTATGTTTGCTAGAAATCTCACATTCCTATTGTATATAATTTTATAGCAAAGTTTTTTAAAACTGCAAAATAACAGTCCGCATTAACCCATTCATACACACTCATCTCCTGACTACCTTTGGTAAGTAGAAAGAGCTTTTAACTAAAGACAGCAAATTAGGACAACAGTTTTTCAAATTGTGTATCTCAGAAAACATTCTGAAGAGATTAATTTGTGTGTTTGAAGGAAAGATGTTCGTGGTTAAATAAGTTTTAGAAACTATGTTATATCCCGCCTCCTGTTGGAGAGGTATAGCTGTATTAGCATATAAAAGACTGACGTTCTTCTGTAAAGAAGGCTGTATAACCCAGATTTTCCAAAACTTATTTTTTAGAAAACACTTTTTTGGTAACACATTAAATATCATGTGGCACTATTCTGAGGGACATCATTTTGGGAAATGCTCAGGGCTTCCTTTTTAGGTGTGAGAAGTCAGCTGCCAGTTGTCGTTTTCAGCTCTGTAGGATTCCTCAGTACTTTGGAAATTCCAGTTTGGAAAGCATTAGTTTTGGGAGAGAGTGCTTTTTGCTTAGAGCTAAGAATCTTACTATTCTAGTCATATCTTAGAAAGTGACAAACTTTCTTTGTATATCATTCCTCTTTTTTTGAGTGCTGTAAATAAATTTTGCTCAAGAATAAAATGAGATATTAGAGCTCTCGGAATGAATGCCACTTTTATGTCTGACCATCACTCTCTTCTCTTTCCTGGGCCACCACATTGTATAATTCTAGAGAGCTCTATTCTCTTTATATTCTGTCTAAATGATACCCCCTGCATTTATACAAAGTAGTGACCTTTCCCTTTTCTTCCGTTTTTGGTAGTAGAGGCCAGCTTTCAGTCATTAACAGTAATAGAGATGTATATTGGTGAGTGTTCTAAAGTATTTCACTTTAGGGATGGTTTTAGGAAGTAGGTCTTAATTTAAAAATTTGCATATATATGTGTCCGATTCTTAGAACTGATAATACTCCAAATGAAATAACTTCTCCAAGTGGTAAAGGTCAGAGTCAGGAAAATGAAGGTGGTCATCTCCTTTTATATTTTCTATAACCTGATAGAATGGACAATGCTGTTACCTCAGAATACAGTAGAGAACCTGAATAAATTCTAGTTTACCCCTTCACCCTTAATGATGTTTCATTGCTTCCCTGGGGAAAGGATTTGAAATCTTAAAATAGAGATTAAAGAATTATTCTAATTAGTAAATAAGAATTTAGGGGTAGATATCAATACTATTTAGATTTTAGAAGACTTGCAGTGAATGATTTGAAGGTAATAAAAATAGTAAGGAGGTGTTTGTTATGAAAGGAGAATTTTAGTAGAATATTTACAAAAAGATAACATTTTAAGGTTTGTTTTGTGATACTTTTGATGGATTCATTTTTGTGATTAGTGAATTCAATTCATCAGAGTATATTACTGAAGGATATTAATGAAGCAAAGGATATTAGATTCTTGTTCCGGTTGTGCTAATTTCTAATTAGCTCTTCTGTATATCATGGATACAAATTGTACCTCAGTCCCTCTAGCTCTCTTAAAATTTCATGCAATTAGTTACTAACAGAACTAAATGAGAAAGTAAATGTACTTAATGTGGCTCATAGAATTGGATAAACCTTAGAGATAATCTAGTTCATTGGTCTTCAAACTGTATTCCCAAGAGCCTGTGGAAATTTCATGAGGAAGAGAAAGATGCTGAATAGTTAGGACTTGTGTCTTTCATGGCTGCTTCAACCAGAGTATCTGCTTTGGTCTATTTAATTTAAGATTTCACTTAAGAACAGCTTTACCGTTTAAAGAAAAAAATCACAGAAAGATACAGTTAAGGAAATCAATGAGTTAGTGGTCAAGCAAGACCAAAACCCAGGTCTTCTAAAGCCTCTATTTTTCTCATTATTTTTGAATAGCAAAGAAAATAGGGTGCCAGTTATGATGAAAGTATTTGAATCTTGCATTTTATAGAGTAACTATAGGAATAATATTTATTAAATCATAGGATATTTATATTATTTGCAATTAGCTCTCTGAGTTATCAAGCTGTAACTTGATATATATATATCATCATATATATAGAATTATATTCATTTTGTGGTGTTTATATCAAGGGAAAAGAAACTGTTAATCATTCTCTGTCCTTCCAAGTTTTTTTTCTCACCTAAGGCAAAATAAATAAATATTAATACTAAAAGATAGCTTACAATGGGGAAGGGACGATATCAGGTTGGAGAAAAAGGAGTAGGTATATTAATTAGGATAAGTTAGTGATGGAAGTTCATAGAGTAGGGTAAAAATATGCAAACACTAAAGGGCTAAGTAAATTTATGTTGTTTTATGATGTTTTAAGGACTTTTTATCACTTAGATTATTTTCATTAATAACTACTTTGAGCTCTCTCAGTTAAATGTATAATCATTCTTTGTAGGTGTCAACCAGCAAAGGCACATTTGCCATAACTAGCCCACATCTTGATTTTCAAAAGCACGCTGCGTCTCCCTTTGTTTAGAGAATCTACAAGCTCATGCCGGTAGTGGATAAATAAATGAGTCAATATATTGGATACACTCCCAACTGCAGAATTGTCTGTTTCTCCCTTTAATTTGGCAGATTTTTGCTTTGTGTGTTTTGGAGCTCTGTTATATAATGCATATTTGATTATTGGTTCTTCCTAATATCCCCTACTTTGGCCTGTCCTTGCCTAGAGGATTCCATACTTAAGAATTATCCCTACTTCTCCTTTTTACACCTTTCAATTTCTCTGTCTTAGTTAGAAAGAGAACTGGAAAAACCCAACTTTAAAATTCACTCCCTCTTATTTAGTTAAATTTCAACTGGCTAATATAGGAAAATAGTATCTTTTATTACTTATAACTTAATTAGTTTATTCCTAAATATGGTAGTTTAGTATACCATTATATTTGTAGATGAAACATCCCCGAATCTATAATTATTATTTTTTCTTAGAGAAAAACAGTTCAAGACTCTGTCTCTTTATTCCCCCCCGCCCCCGAGACAGAGTTTTGCTCTGTCGCCCAGGCTGGAGTGCAGTGGCACAATTATGGCACACTACAGCCTCAACCTTCCAGGCTCAAGCAGTCCTTCTGCCTCAGCCTCCCGAGTAGCTGGAACCACAGACCCAGCTAATTTTTAAATTTTCAATAGAAATGAGGCCTCCCTGTGTTGCCCAGGCTGGTCTTGAACTCCTGGGGTCAAGCGATCTTCCTGCCTTGGCCTAACTAAATTGTAAGTAATAAATAAATCAAATTATTTTTCTATATTAGCCAGTTGAAATTTATCCTCCCAGTCCCTGGCCAGGCATGGTGGTTTATGCCTGTAATTCTAGCATGAACTACCACACCTGGTGAGGGGATTACTGACTCTGTTACCATTCAAGAAAACTATGCCATTAGCTCTTTTCCATGCCTTAAAAACCTCAGTTTCTGTCAGGAAAGGATAAAGTCTGTTGCTCTCTTCTTGGCATTCCTTTGGTGCATACTATTTAAATGCTTATTATTTACAATATAAACAAAACATCGATTTGTCTAAGGCCATAAGAGAACTATCTTTTTATTTAAAAAGATGATTTTGCTGAATTTACCTTGCAAAGCTTACCTTGACCATTTTCTTCTGTTATTATGAATATTTGTAGGTTCACTAAATTATAAGAAATTTTCTGTGATGTTAAGATATAATTAGCAGGAAATTATTAAATTAACGTTTGTTTATTTTTTTCAGCCTCTACAGCTTTACGTTCCAGTCCAATAATGAGAAAAAAAGTATCTTTAAATACGTATACACCTGCAAAGATCCTCCCAACACCACCAGCTACCTTAAAGAGTACTAAAGCAAGCAGCAAACCAGGTTAGGGGTGTGTGTGTTGAGTTTGTGGATTTGCCCCAGAAATAAGAGGAATAGTAACTTGCTTTTTAAATGTTAAATTTGTTTTTAATTAGGATCTTTACACTTCCCTAGAACGTAATGATCCTAAGGGTTAAAAATCTATTATTGTAGTCTATTGATATATATGTGTTTTTTGTCTGTTGTCTTCCTCTCTCCCCACATCTGTTCACAAAATATATTTCACAATCACACTTTTCCCCAAACTAATTTATGGACTGTCTTCTTTTGCCTTTCTTTTGAGTTTAAGGCATCATCTTATATGAAAATTTCTATGGGCCAGGCATAGTGGTATACACCTGTAATCCCAGCTACTCAGGAAGTGGAGGTATAAGGGTTACTTGAGCCCAGGAGTTCAAGTCCAACCTAGGCAACATAGCAAGACCCTGTCTCAAGTATTAAAAAAAGAAAGAAAAAAAATTGTTTTCTCTTTACTGAGAATATTTGCATCTCTCCATTCTCAGTCTTGATTATGTGACTACCAAAATTAATTATCTTTTATTAGCATTTTTCTACTTTAGCTTCATGGCACATTTAATATTTTTGGCCTTTCCTGAAATGCTGTCTTACCCTATTACTCTATTGTGATATTCTATCCATTTATCTTATTCCTCTACTTTTCTTGTTTGATGATCCTTCTTTCTTCTTTCTTATCCCAGACAAGAACATGATACTCTATTCATTTTTCTTACCCTATATATTTTTTCCTCAGAGAATTTCATATACCTTCAAAGCTTTGACAACGGCCTCATTGCAGATGTCTTCATTCTTTTCTTCTTAGTGCTCTCAAATGTTCTTTTGATTAAGAGTTTATGCTTAACAGTCAGAGAAACCTAGATTAAAATCTCAGTTCTGCTACTTATTAGCTGTGTGACTCTGGACAAGTTACTTAACCTCTCTGATCTTTAGTCTCATAGTCATAAAATCAGGGTAATACTACCTTCTTCATAAAATTGTCAGAAATAATTGCAATCTTATATATAAAGTACTTGGCACACATAGTAAACACTCACTAAATGGTAACTGCTATTAATTGTTATATTGTATCCAAACTGCTCTCTTTACTTCTCCCCAAATAAATTCCCTTAGCATTCATGCCTTTTTTTTTCTGTTAAAATGTTATCCCTTTTACCTCACATCCTTCAAGACTCAATCCGACCTCTTCCACTGATAATGTATTTTTATGATTATCAAAACATGAACTTCAATAATGCTCTGTCCTACTGATTTGATCTAGTATACCTGATTACTATCAGATTACCGGGCCTTGTAAGTCAGGGGCAGTATCTTAAACCACAAATATTATAGATTTGAACCTTGCACATTCCAACTAATAAGTATGTGAAACAACAGGCAATTGAGTAAGTATCTTAAATATAAGTTGTGATGCATCCCATATACCACAAAAAGCTAACATTTGTACAGTTACTTATATTATAAACTTTTTTCTATTCTCATAGTTCTCACTATAAATGTTAGAGGTCAATACCATTCTTATGTCCATTACAGGTGAAGAAAGTAACAGAGATAGTAACTTAATCTCATCTTACATAGCTAGTGGTCGGTAGACCTAGGATTTGAATGCATTTTGACTCAGTACATTGTTCTTTAGACACATAATAAATGCATTAGTTCATATACATTTTTAAGTAATAAAGTACAAATGGTGTTATATTTGACATTTCAAATGTTAAGTCAACCTTGCATTCCTGGGATGAACCCTACTCAGTCATGATATATTATATATATGAAGGTCTATAAAATTCTCGGAGGAAAAAAACATAGGGTAAGACAAACGAACAGAGTAGCATGTAACTGTATGGGATAAGAAAGTGGGAAAAAGAAGGATCATCAACCGGAAAAGTATATCAGAGAAACGGAAAGAATATCATGATAGAATAATATCTTGGAAGTCAGGGTAAGAGAGCATTTCAGGAAGGATCAACAATACAATCAAATGTGTCACGAAGTTAAGATAGAAAAATGCTGACAAAAAATAGTTGAATTTGATTTTGAAGAAATTTGCATTTGTATTTGTAAAAGATAGGATATTAGTCTGTAGTATTTTTGTTTCTGTTTTTGTAATGCCTTTTTCCAGGTTTTGGTATCAGAGTAATGCTAGCTTCATAAAATAATTTGGAAGTGCTTTCTATTTTCTGAAAGAGTTTTTATAATATTTTTATTTCTTCCTTGAATGTTTGGTAGAATTAATTTTATTTCAATTAATTTTGATAGAATTTATCTTTCCTTTTTGTGATACTTTTGGTAGTTGTATTTTTTTTTAGGAATTTGTTCATTTTATGTAAGTTGTCAAATTTGTTGCTCTTTTATTATCTTTTTAATGAATGTGGTAATAACTTTCATGATACTGGTAATTTGTGTTCTTTTTTTGTGATCATTCTCACTAGGGATTTATCAATTTTGTTGGCTTTTTCAAAGAACCAACTTTTGGCTCTTTGTTTTTCTGTTGGTTTTATGTTTAAAACACAATTTTTTGTTTGTTTGGTTTTTTTCAACAGAGTCTCCCTCTGTTGCCCCAGCTGGTGTGCAATGGTGTGATCTCTGCTCACTGCAACCTCCACTTCCCGGGTTCAAGCAATTCTGCCTCGGCCTCCCAAGTAGCTGGGATTACAGGTGACCGCCACCACGCCTGGCTAATTTTTTTATGTTATTAGTAGAGATGGGGTTTCACCATGTTGGCCAGGCTGGTCTCGAACTCCTGACCTCAGGTGATTCACCCGCCTCAGCCTCCCAAAGTGCTGGGATTACAGGTGTGAGCCATGGCACCCGGCCTTAAAACAATTTTTTTTTAAATTATTTTAAATTATTTTAATTATTTAAAAAATTATTTTCTACGTTCTACTTTCTTTCGGTTTACTTTTATCCTCTATTTCTAGTTTCTTAGGTCATTGATTGTTATCTATTTCAAACATTTAAAACTTTGTTTCCCTCTAAGCATTTTAGTTGCGTCTCACAAATGTTATATTGTATTTTCATTATCATTCAGTTAGAAATACTTTCTAGTTTATGTGTGATTTCTTCTTTGATCCATTGCATATTTAGAATTATATTGGTTAAATTCCAAATATTGAGGGGTTTTTTATTGTTTTTAATCAATTTCTTATTTAGTTCCATTGCAGTTATAAAAACATACGCCGTGTCATTTCAGTCTTTTAAATGTAGGACTTATTTTATGGCTTAACATCTGGAATATTTTGAATATAATATGTGTACTAAAAAACACCCAAATGTTTGTCTTATAGTTCATTGATCCTAATGGACACTATTTTATCATTGTGCCTGAGGTCAAGGTTGTTGATAATGTTCAGATAGTGAGTCTTTACTATTTGATTTTTCTTTGGCAGAGAGGTGGTCAAGGAAGGGATTGGTTGTTCTATCAATTGTACAGAGAGCAATTATACTCACAACTGCCGAATTGTCTGTTTCTCCCTTTCATTTGGCAGATTTTTGCTTTGTGTGTTTTGGAGCTCTGTTATATAATTAAATGCATATTTGATTATGGGATCTTCCTAATATATTGACTCATTTATTATCATGACTTTTTTTCTCTTTAATTTCCATTAATGTTTTGTTTTTAAGGTTTGTTTTATCTGATGTGATATAGGTCATCAAACTTTCTTATGCAAGGCATTCTAACAATATCTGCCTTATAGTTACAGTTTACAGTTCATTAACATTTAATGTAATTATTGATCTGTTGAGGTTAGTCTACTACTTTATGTTTTCTGTTTATTCCTTTTGATGATTATACCTTTATTCTTTCCTACTCTACCTTATTTTGTACTAATTCAATATTTTTAAGAATTTTATTTAACTTTTTCTATGGACTTTTGCTATATCTTTTTGCATTTTTTTTTTTTGTTGTTGTTGCTCTAAATATGTATTCCTAATTTTTCACCATCTACTTAGGGTTAATTTTGCACCACTGAAAGTAAAATATAGAAACCTTGCCACTGTATAGATTCATTTACCTTACCCTCTTCCCATTCTTTATACATAGTTATCCTTATGTGTTACTTCCACATATATTATAAACACTGTAATACAATGTTATGATATTTGCTTTAAGCAGTCATATGTATTTTAAAGAAACTTAGAGGAGAAAGAGGTTCTATATTTATCCATATATTTGCCACATTTTTTGCTCTTTATTCCTTCCTTGAAGTCTGTGTTTCCATCTGGTTTCATTTGCCTTCAGCCTGAAGCTTTTTAGCATCTCTTAATCTGCAGGTCTGTTGGCAACAAATTCTATTCATTTTATTGTGTCTGAAAAATGGCTTTATTTTGCCTTCATTTTTGCAGTGTAGTTTTTGCCAAATAGAGAATTCTGGGTAGAAAATTTTTTATTTCAGCACTTTAATGATATTCTACTGTCTTCTGGTTCCCATTGTTTCTGATAAGAAGACTTAGTTAATTTGAATTACTATTCGCATAAATGCAATGGGTTGTTTTTCTGTGCTTGCTTTCAGTGTTTTCTCTTTATCTTTGATTTTCAGCAGGTTGACTATGGCATATTTATGTCTATATTTTTTTTCTTTTTTGGTAATACTTCAAAAAAGATGTTGATTTGGTTGATGTTGATTTGGTTGATTTGGTTGATGTTTACTTTTACTTACTTTTCATTCTGTTGTTAAACCCATCTAGTTTTTATTTCAGACCTTTTATTTCAGGTATTTATTCTTTTAGATATTCTGTTTGATTCTTTTAAATAGTTTTTTTGCAGGGGTTTTTCTCTTTTTATTCATTATAAACTTATGTGTCTTTGTCCTAGAGCATAGTTAGAATTGTTGCTTTAAAATTCTTGTCTGTTAATCTGACTCATCTCCAAAGAGATCTGTATCAATTTATGCATTCTCAGCAAGAAAGATCTTTTTCTGTTTCTTAGTATATTAATTTTGGATTATATTGTAGACATTGTATATGGTATGTTATAGAAACTCTGGATTTTGTTATTTCTGTTATATTCCTCCAAAAAAAATATTGTTTTGTTTGTTTTTAAACAAAGAGTTAGCCTTAGCTGAGCTCAGATTGTAAAACATGGTGTTCCATGTAGTGGCTGGCAAAAATTTCAGTTCATTTTGCTTTAGCTGGGCTCCTTGGACTTTACTCTGCTCATGCCATACATTTGACCATCATTTACAAATAGAATTGTGGGCTCATCCTTTCTGAGATTTTCCACCTTACTTTCTAGTAGCTGTGGTTGCCGCAATATTTATCTTCTGCTTCTTATGTTGGACTTGTAGCCATTGTACATGGTGCGTATTAGGGCCTATCCTCAGGCTAAAAAGAAGGGGAATCTTATCCCATATTGTTCCCTTTTTCCAAGTACTGATTCTTCTCTAGTAACGGCCTGCTCTTGTTCACTATTTAGTGTCTTCAGGTAGTTCTTCCTCATATTTAGTACAGAGTGTATATTTGTTATCTGTGGGAAGATTGGTCTGATAGGAGCTTACCCATACATTTATTCATCCATATTAGAAATGTAGTAAAGTAATGCCACCTAGAATGGTTTTTTATTTTATTTATTTATTAATTATTATCATTTTTTTCTTTTGAGACAACGTCTTGTTTTCTTACCCAAGCTGGACTATAGTGTTGCAATCATAGCTCACTGCAGCCTCAACCTTCCAGGCTCAAGCAATCTTCTTACCTTGGCCTCCTGAGTAGCTGAGACTATAAGTGTGTGCCACCACACCCAGCTAATTTTTGAAGTTTTTTGTAGAGAAGGGGGTCTCACTATGTTGCCAGGGCTGGTCTTGAACTTCTGGGCTCAAGCGATCCTCCCACATTGGCCCTCCAAAGTGTTGGGATTATAGGTATGAATCACCCTGCCTGGCCTAGAGTAGTTTTTTGATAATTCATTAAGACTTCATGTTGGTTTAGATATGGAAGGATGATTCCTAAGTTAAGAGTGCTTCTAGTTTTCTTACCTTCTAGCTTTTTAGAGTGGGATAAGATAGAAGATACAGGAGGAAATAGATGCTTGTAGGGAAAATGATGAGTTCAGTTTATGCACATGGTTTGTCTTTCTTGTCAGATATCTTTAAAGAAAGTTTCAATTGGCAGTTGTATATACATGTCTTGAGCTAAAGGAAAAGGCCCAGGCCAAAAGTATAAATTTAAAAATCACAATGAATGGTAGTTAAAAATTATAAAAATATATTCATTTCCTAGGAAGAATGTAGAGTAAAATGAGAAATTAATTTTATGAACACAGTCCATTGTCATTACCTTTCTATATTTGTGTTGAATTCTGAAAAGTAAAAGGTTAAAAATGCTATATTAAATTTTTACATTTCATTTACATCACAGTTATAACAAGAATTGTTTTGTCAATCAGCAGTATTATTTGAACTTGGATTGTTTGTGTAAATTTAAGCAATAGTTTTTTGTTTTTGTTTTTGTTTTGTGTAGCTGCAAGTGGACCTTCTAGTGCAGTTGTTCCTAATACCTCATCTCGGAAAAAGAGTATAACTAGCAAAACAGAAACGCATGAACACAAAAAAAACACTGGGAAAAAGAAATGAAATCTTAGCAGAAACTGGAACTTTTTATACTTATAAAAATAGTATGTTCTTATGTTTCTCCTTATGCATTTATGTGTTCACTTAAAAATGTTTTTAAATCTAAGGGTTTCTTTGTTTATATTCAGGTAAGGAACTTTTGTCATGATCTGGAAATGTTTAAAACAATGTTTGTAGGCATTCTGTGAGTAGCAAAACTTATAGTGATAAAAATTGATTGTTGTTAATATGATGTTTACCATGTGCACATAGTAATGAAAAGGAACATAAAAGCCCAGCAGGCTCGTACCAAAGTCACACCAGTAATGCTGTGTACTGCAGAGTCTGATTAGATGGCCTTTGTGCACACTTTTATATTCATGGGATTGCATCTTAGCTGTAAAAACTTCTAGGTTGAAATTTGATAGCCAGGGTTACATACTGGGGACTTTTAAAGTATCTTTCCAGAGAGATTTCATTAACCGTTTAGATTAGCATATCTTTCCCAATTGTTACAGTGACATATATGCTGCAATATTTAACAACTAGAGTATTAGCCACATGGGCTAATTTTCAATCTGTGTTTTGAATTTTTTTTATTATATGTTATTTAAAATATTACATATGCAGCTGGGAGAACTACACCTTTGTGCACATAGATTTATATATTAATTTGTAGAAAATATTTTCTTTATATATTTCCTTACCATACAAGGTGCCTTGTTCATCAGGAAAACTTTTGTTTCATATGTTGACAAGAAAGGCACCTTTAGAGTTTCTTTTTAAGTATAGTTGACAAATGTATAAATGTTACATTTATTTTCAGAGTTCTTTTTAGATCTAAAGAAGTCAGTTCAAAAATGGAAATCAACAATGTTAGGAGAAATCTGAATTCTGTTTAGTTAGTACATATTATGTATAGCATCTGTTTTTAACCATTTCCATTCTTATCCCTAGTGTATCAGTTGATCACACTAAGAAAGCTTAAAGATTGAGCATTTGAAATAAATGCTGTTTATAAATGATTAGATTTTTGAAGGGATATTGAAATCATTGTGCTGTGATTTCATCTATGATATGAAAAATAAATTTATTATCCTTGGTGCTTTTCCCCCCAACCAATGCACAAATAATTGTGAACCACTTGAAATGACTTAAACTGGTAATCCAAATGGGATAATCTGATAAGAATTTCATGCATTGCTAGTTAAATAACTTAAATTGCTAAAGCTTTAGCTTGAAACTTAACGTTTAGAAAAACTATAGATTTCCCATGGTATGAATATAACTATCGTAATTCTTCAAAAGAGATTCTTCTCACCTTAGTCATATATGAATTAACTTATAGGAAATAAGCATACTATATGTTAGCTGTTTTAAAAGGTACCAGATGTAAGAGTTATAAATATATACAATTAAAGAAGTTCATGTACTTCACATGAATGTAAATGTGTTATATGGAGACATGTCTTGTAAACAGTTGAATGTATGTAAGTTTTCTGTTTGTGAAAATGTAGTTAATGTACTCACTGTGGAGGTAATAAGGAAACGACTTTTTTTTTAAAGTGGAACCTAATTAAAATATTTCCAGAATCAAAGAGACTTAAATGGTAAATTTTTTAAATTTCCTTATCTCTTTTTAGTTTTCAAAGTAGAAAAAATCAGGAATTTTTTTATTAACTACTACTTACATATTAAATGAAATTTATTATTGGCTATATACATAGCAATATATTACTTTCCAAACTAGAAAGTACAGTACAACTCACTTTTTCTATTGTTATGCAAGAACTGTTACTTTACTGTAGTCACCAGCTCAGTAGTATTGCTCTGTAGACTAGAGAGTCTGTTTGTAAAAATCTTAGAATCATTTTCCAAAACAAATAAAAAGTCTACTATATCAGAGCAAAATATTATAGTTATCACTATTTAGTGGCAGTTTGACTGAAGCATCTGTTTCTCACTTGATTCTGTCCTGAGAAGATGTGAGATTTTTGGTTTTAAATACTAGAAGATATTTCTTCTTATAGCCCAGTCCTGCATCCCAAAGAGGTGAACTACCCCAGCATGAAGAATTGTTTATTCACCCTGAGATATTAATCTTCATAATATATTATTCAGTTCCTTCACCCTTAAAAGCCATATAATAAGCTCAGACCTAACTTAGCCCTTAAAGTCTAGTGCTGGCAGATTCTGCTGCCCTGGTTTAAATGAGTTACATAGTCCATTCTCAAATACTAGCAAATTTGTGGGGGGTGTTACAGCAATTTTTGGTGAAGAAGAAAAGTGTGCTGAACACCTTATGTCAATGATAGACAAGATATAGAGGCTGAAGGGAATACAGTAAAGTAACAAAAACATGTGGCAGTGTACTTAGTGTAAACATAGAGCACAAAGGCAATAGATGGCAATTATGAGAGAAAAGTTAAAAGTTCTTCAAGAAATATCCACTTAAAACTCACTAGCCAAGGAAAAATTTTCTGTTTTCATCCGGAATTCTTTTTGGGTTCTGTTGATTCTGTCTGACCTAAATATCCACTGTTAACTAGTTCCATGCCAGTTTGAACCAAGATTTCACATTTTTGTTTTGTATTCATACTTTGGTAGAAATTTATCAGTCTTTGTGTGTTTATAAGAGTTTGCTTTACACATAGTGTACAGTGTTTATTAACTTTACATCATTTTATCCTTGCCTTACTATCTGGACACTGTAGACTGCCTATATTCTTATTTAGCTGGGGTTGGGATCTCTTCTGTTTAGCCCCTCTCTAATTCTCTCTTCCTGTGTCAGGAGATATCAAAACAACAGAATTCTTGCCATTGGAAACATTTTTCTTTTTTAGACAAGTTCTCATTCTGTCACCCAGGCTGGAGTGCAGTGGCACAGTCTTAATTCACTACAGCCTTGAACTCCTGGGCTCAAGAAATCTTTCTGCTGCAGCCTTCTAAGTAGCTGGTACTATAGGTGCGTGCCACCACAACCAGCTCATGGGACCAATTTTTACACTCCTTCTGAAGGAGTCATTTGTGATACGAGTCCAAGTACAAACAGGTTTCCCTCTGTACATAATCATAGGTACCAAAATATTACTGTGTAAAGTGTTGTTTATATAGGTCAATTTTTGTGGAAGATCTAATTTCTATTTTCAGAGAACAGAGCACAGTAAAAAATCTAGTATTGTGTACTATATAATTTATATGAATTATAGCTCCTTAACTATTGCTGAGTTTTTTTTTTTTTTTTAATATTTTAAGTTCTAGGGTACATGTGCACAACGTGCAGGCTTGTTACATAGGTATACATGTGCCATGTTAGTTTGCTGCTCCCATCAACTCATCATTTACATTAGGTATTTCTCCTAATGGTATCCCTCCCCCACCTCCCCCACCCACCAACAGGCCCCAGTGTGTGATGTTCCCCACCCTGTGTTCAAGTGTTCTCATTGTTCAATTCCCTCCTATGAGTGAGAACATGCAGTGTTTGGTTTTCTGCCCTTGTGATAGTTGGCTGAGAATGATGGTTTCCAGCTTCATCCATGTCCCTGCAAAGGACATGAACTCATCCTTTTTTATGGCTGCATAGTATTCCATGGTGTATATGTGCCACATTTTCTTAATCCAGTCTATCATTGATGGGCATTTGGGTTGGTTCCAAGTCTTTGCTATTGTGAATAATGCCGCAATAAACATACGTGTGTGTGTGTCATTATAATAGCATAATTTATAGTCCTTTGGGTATATAACCAGTAATGGGATCGCTGGGTCAAATGGTATTTCTAGTTCTAGATCCTTGAGGAATTGCCACACTGTCTTCTACAATGGTTGAACTAATTTACACTCACACCAACAGAAGCATTCCTATTTCTCCAAATCCTCTCCAGCATCTGTTGTTTCCTGACTTTGTCAATGATTGCCATTCTAACTGGCGTGAGATGGTATCCCATTGAGATTTTTATAAACTGCTTTTCTTTTGGTTCATATGCTTTGTCATGGATTGTGAGAAAAACATATCTTTTCGCTTAAGGATCACTGTCAATTTCTCCTTTTATTATCAATGGTTTTTACTTTACTTTTTATATAGTATGTGATTATGTTTTCTGATGCATATAAATTCATGACTGCTAGATTTTCATTATGGGTTTTGCCTTATTATTATTAACATGTCCTTTTTGTCCACTGGATACTTTTTGTTCTATAAGTTGTCAGATATTAAGATTATGACCTATGCTTTATTTTGGCTTGCATTTGCCTGATATTCATCTTTTTATTTTTTGGTATTTGTGTCACTTTGTTTTAGGTTATTTAATACAGTATATAGTGGGTTTTGCTTTGTGATTCAATTTTAAGATCCGTTTTACTTGATAGATTAGTGTAGTCTGTTTTATGTAATATATCTTTGCTTTTAGATTATGCATTTTTTTATGGCTTTAAAATTTTTTTGTCTTTGTGTAACAATACTTTCCACTGCAAGCAGGAAAATTCCAATGGAAACTGGTTTAAATCCTAAGAAAATTTATTATTACACATTTCTGAAGGTCCAAAGGTGGAGTTGGCTTCAGCCACAGTTATATTAGCCATATTGTCATCAAAAGCCCAAGTGACCTCCCTGTCATCTCTGGCATAGTATAAACTGTATCCCAAAGTTGTTTTCTCTTGTGTTAACAAGATTGCTATCGGTTTCAGTGAGGACTACGTATTTTTTTGTTCATGTCCAACACAATAAAAATTGAGGGAAGTTCTCTCCCAATCCTGGAATATTAATATGAAGCGATCTACTTCAGTGGGATTGAGCCAACTTATTTGATCATCTGCTCACCCCTAGATAAATAGCATTCTCCAGGAGATTCCCATGACCTTACTGACCCTAGAGCAGATGATGGAATCAGTTTTCCCGAAAAGCCTCAGCACCGTTGACATTTTGGACCATATAATTCTACATCATAGGAAGCTGTTCTATGCATAGCAGGATGTCTGGTAGGATCTCTGTGCCTAGCTGTGAAGTGTTGAGAGTCAGTTAAGGTAATGAGCTGAAATTAAAATAATAATCACATCTTTATTCACTTACTATGATAAAATTATAAGCAAGAGACCAAAAAGGAAAGTAGTGCCAGCTCATTGTTGTTCCATTTTTACCCCTACCGTGGACTAGCACTGGACATGGGTCAATCAGATGACATGCAGTGCAGGCAGAGGAAATTGTTTCAATGCTAAGGAGCAACGAACAAAAGGTTCCTGCCATCTTATGAACCTTGAGGACTGCAGAAAGGGAGCAGGGAAGGGCTAGGAGTAGAAAAGAACTGAGTTAGAGTGGAGATGAGTGTCTCAGTCAAGGCCCACCAATAGGGAGGTCTCTGTAGAGGCACCTGAAAAGTGTCTCAACCAAGGCCCCCTGATAAGGAAGACTCAGTATGGAGGTACCTGGTCTAGGAATGCAGCTAGGTTTATAGACATGGCCAGCTCAGGGGGACCTAAGCACCAGGTACAACTCCCTCCAGAGACTGGCTGTGTTTAAATCTCATGTGGGAAGGGCACCTTTCCCCTATGAAGTCTGTCAAGCAAAGCCTTTGTAATTGCTTATGGTCAGGCCTGAAAGATCACAGATCAGACTTTGGCCTGGAACATATCTCCTTGCCCTAAATGCCAGCAGCATCCCATCCTAACTGTGGCAGTCAAAAATGTCTCCAGACAGTACTAAATGTCCTTTGTGAGAGAAGAATTGGCCCTAGGTAAGAACCACTGCCCTAAAGCACGTGATTCTGTGGAAAAGAAGGATATATGACCAAAATCATCTTGGATAATGAAGGCATGGATAATGGACACATAATCAGCAATGTACACTGTACACTACACTTGCATTATATTATTCACATTTGCTGTAGTTCGCTTGTTCTGCTAGTGGTTTTTTCCTTCACTATAATTTTGAATTATATTTTAAAGTATATATATATATATATGTGTGTGTGTGTGTGTGTGTGTGTATATACTTTAAAAGTATATATATATAAAGTATATATAGTATATATATAAAGTGTGTGTGTGTGTATATATATATATATCTCCAATTAGTGTATTTTTTCCTCTACTGCACAGTTTTAGTTGATTATTTTTTCCTTTTCATTTCTTTTCTGAACTTTGTTAGCTTATGTTGCATTTCCTTTGGTTGTTTTGCTATGTTGCTTCTGATCAACTACATTTCTTTATGAACTCTATTTCCTTAAGTTCTTTGAGTTATGACAATATATTTGGTGACATTTTTCATGTGCTCAGTTGATTCATTCTTTCCTGTTGAGTGGTTTTATCTGCTAATTGTTTCTGCTTGTTCCGTTTCTCCTTTTCTTGAAGTGTTTGTGCATGAACACTGTGCAGATTTATTCTCAAGTATTACTTATCTTTATATGAGGTAAGTTTCTTTCTGGCTCATCTATTTGATACAATTTCTTTTTTTGTTTGTTTGTTTGCTTTTGTTTTGTTTTTGTTTTAGTTTTAATGCAATTTCATATGGTAGGTAGGTTGGCTTTTCTTTTTTTTTTTTTTTTTTAATGGTAGGTAGGTTGGCTTTTCTTTTTTTTTTTTTTTTTGAGACAGAGTTATGCATTTCACAT